ATTTTGTTGTTCTAAGGAGTCATGTTGGGGTTTTGATTAAAAGTTCAGAGAAATGTTTGCATTTTCACGAAAAGTTTTCCGGACTTCTTTTCCATAGTAATTGAAGCCTTGACAGCTAATTAAAGTTAGTCGGAAGAGAATCAAAGCTGCTAAAATCCACAAAATAGCGCAAGGAATATTTGTCGTGCATCAAGATCAAGTGATTTACGAAACTGTGGAAGTATCTTCGCATGACGTAGGCTTCCCTCAAGTGATTCAAAAAAAAAGGTAAGCTATGAATCTTTCATCTTCTGCCCTGAACAAAGCGTGTGAATTAGGGCTGGGTTATCCATCATTCCATCGAAATAATTCAAATAAGAAATTTATTGTCTGATTTTATTTTAACGACGTTGAGGTGTTGTATATAGCATCCTTACTTATTACATTGTGTTTTACGAAATAGAAGACCGCCTTAATTTACTTTGTAGCTACATAAAGGCGAATCGAAAATTACACACCATAAAATAGTTGCCTGAGGAAAGGAAGACTGAGTAAATAAATGATTACAATTTTAAATCAATTTTGCGAAACAAGTTCTTTTATAAGAAGACTTTTTTATTCGCCAATAGAATGAGCGTCAAAGTCGCAATTCAATTTTGCGTTTCTCCGTCCGCAATCTCTGATCACTTCAACAGTATAGAAACGTCAGTCACCAACAACAGTTCTTTTCAGAACTACACTCACCCGGACGATCACACTACACGAACTAGTATAGTATCTGAATTTCACGGCAATATGTGATCGTGAATAAGGAGGTTTTGTTCGGTACTTATATGGTGAAAGTAGATGAGTCATAAATGTTCGATAAACAGTGGTTTTGAGGTATTACTTTGCGTTAGGCTTCCAGCGATACAGAAACCATGTTATGCGCACCTTTATAAAGCTCAGTTAAAAACAGTCGTGTGACTCTTTTGTTTCAAACAACGCTATTTAGTGAACAGTATTAATTTTACATCAGTGTCTTCTCGGATTGCTAGTGAGGCTCAGATATCAATGCGGTTCTTTTGGATTCTCGTCTAACCGCTGTGGGCTGTCTTCAAACAATTGAAAAATCAAATCTTCACTTGAAAAATTAACAAATGACGTTAGTTTCTTGACATAAACGCAACAACTACAAACTTCACATTTCTCCAAGCATCTCGGCCTATATACATACTCTTATAAGGCAAGTCTGTAAACTTATCGCTGTAGTGTTCCTACAGGAGGGGCCAGACACGCCTGCTAAAGGTTATAATTATCGAAACCGAGAGGTCGAAAGATTGCGGGTTAGATTTTTAACCAAGATCAAATTAAGAGTAAAAGCCATTTCATAGATCCGCAATGTGTGCAAAGTATCGGGCATAGTGTGGCAACTTATTAGCCCCCTTCGACTAGGCCCCTCCTAGATTTCTTAAATAAGCGTTAAGAAAAAATAAGAAACAGTCAATTGATCAAGAAAGATTAATGGCAAGCATTACAGAACCCTATAGCATTATCTTACCTGCTCGATGTCTGAATCTTCCAAAAAATTCAATATATTTTTTGGTAAAATCTTCCTGAGGGAGTGAACTTAATTCAAAGATACAAGATGCTTTCGGTTGGGAGTCGAGACATTGGAAAGATTGAGCAATGTTTAGAAGCATGCATTACAATACTAGGCGTACGAATATGGGTACAGTATTTATATCTAAAAGATTCCCGTTAAATTTTCTAAAATTATGCTCCACGTTCGATTCAGATGGTTTCATCATGTTTCATAATTTGCCTGAAAATTTTAATTCTCTGGTTGACAAAAACGCCTGGAAACACCCATGACTGCGACATCACTTAGCAGCTTTGATAATTGAAGTACCCATTGAAATTCCACCGATTAAACTCTTCAAAATTACTTTTATGCTATCAAGAACACAGAAAATGAAGCTTATAAAGGCTAATTGAGGTCCTTAAAACTAAGGCAGGACTAGAAAATTGGCAGTTTCATTCGTTAAAGATAGCAAGTGCAGGATAAAATTAGCACACCACGAGTAGTGTGGTTACATCTAGTGAGTCATATGCAAAGTGACTAAGGTTGTCAGCGTGTTGTTCAGGAAAAGAGAAAGGTTTTAGACATATACTAAAGATAAGGTGCGCATTGTGATGAGAAAAAAAACATCAGAAAAGATATGTACCTTATTATAATATTTTTCTTATTGTCTTTATTTTTTATACGACGATTTTGACAATGCTGTTCCAACGCGAAAAAAGGGATGCTTCTCACAAATAAAATAAGGTGATGGCAAAGCCTCTTACAGCCTGTTCACAGCCTGTTCACAGTCACCCACGGTTTCAAAACTAAAAACAGCTCTCTTTTATATATACCCTTGTTCATATGATACCGAGTTTTAGAAGTAGAGTGTCACAGTCATTGCTTGGAAGAGTCCGGGGCATATTTCAATTTCTCGAGGGTAAAAGTTAAATATGTCAAAAAATTGGATCTTTTTAGAAATCTTCTTTGCTATTAGAGAAGGGACGGATCTCTGACCGCATTATTCAAAGCTGATTTTATCTAAAAAGGTTGACACATTCGCGAAACTACCGCCAGCTTTTAGAGGGAAATGAGATTACATGGCGCGGAGAATTAGCGTGGAGATGAATTTCACCTATCAAGCCATAGCTTCCCAATTCATAGTCGCAGATTATTATAATAATTTTAATTTTAAAGCGCTTTTCAATGTTGTTGTATCTCTGCTGCCTAAAGAATGGTTTCTTTTTCGTTTACCATAAATTTATGGCATTTTTAATGAAGCGAAAAAAAACTCGACATCTCGTAATTTGGACAAAAATTTTAATTCTTCATTACAACCGAGTGTCCTCATAATTCTAAGTACAAGTTGCATTTAGTGATTGCCATTTAAGTACGGGAATCTGTAGTAGGGTTTTTCAAATAAAAGATCACATAATAATAAGTCTCGGAAATAATTGTGCTTATCTTGCACATGAAAAGAACAAGGAAATTAAAGAAAATGTGTACTTTTGTATTCATTTGACAGCCTGTTGTTACCAATTCTTTCTTTCTCATTAAAATCTATGACAACTCTTACGGATTTTCGGAAATCAATTATTAAAAAGTTTAGGAAATCTCTCAGAAATTCGAGGGAATACAAGATCTGCTTGTAATTAGATTTGATTTGTGTTTTCAACCAGTCATAGAGGAGATCCGCGCAGGTGCTAACATAATTGATCAGAAGCTATAAGATGAAATTGCTTCGAAACCACTTTGTCACGAGCTGTCGAAACTGAAAAATTCATCATGTTGTTGGAAAGGTTATTCGTATAGTTCCAAACCTCCAGTACATGTTCCTTACTGTAACTATAACAGCTCGATTTGGAATTGTTGATGCTACGATTCCCAAGAGGTGGCTATTTTCTCTCAATGTGATTCCTCTGAGTAAACCTTCAGGGGAACGCATCTTTTTTGGATTTAGTGCCCTCTATATCCTTTAAGTCACCCTAAGGAAAGTCAATTTTGATTTCGTCTCTTTGGTCTAAGAGGTTTTTGGGGAATTTTATGCCACTACGAGCCATCAGTTCCAGAACTTCACCGCGGTTTTGGAAAAACTGAAGGAAGGAGAATCACCCACAATTTTGACATTAAAGTTAAGTTCTCTCTCCTATCCGCAAGGACGAATCGAAAGGCAAGTATCACGATGAGAAATATTTGAAAACCTTTTAAGTTGTACGTGGTATACGTGGACACCTTTGTTGCATTTTATACTGAAGGCTTTTAAACTCTCTCACGCAGGTGCGAGTGCATTACAAACAGCCTTGTTTATCACTCTTCAACATACTCCCAATCACAATGCAATATGATCTTTTTTAGGGAGAATGAAATTATTATGCGCATTTTTGCGCAAAAAAATTCAGTATTTTCTTGCTTCCCATTCATGCGAATACATATTTGATTTAGGCCCTGCGTGCTTGAACATTAAGTGCGTATAATTGCATTGTAATTTATCGAGTTTCTTTCATTACTTCCAAAATGTTCAACGCTATGTACTGAAGAATGTGGAGGACCAAAAATATCGGTGTTTCCTTATTTTTCGTAATGAAAATGGCTAACCTCGGATATATATTTTTTTCGTCAATAATACGCTATAAATCTGATTTTGAGCTCTGGATTTCAGAACGATGGAGATTGCTCTGGAATAATGATATTTTATTGTTTCTTGATTATCTCTCATGCAGTTAGTGTTGTAGACAGTCCACTTGCATGATTATTATGCCGTGAACTAATTTGTATTCATGGATTGCCAAATAGAATTTAAATAAGAAATATTTCAATTTGTTGACATAGTTTTAGAGCTTAAAATTGGCCATGGGTCATTCGCGTGACAGTGAACAACACGAACACCTATTTGTGACTTGTGAATAGAATTTAATCATGCAGGGAAAAAAATGTTTGTCTCTTTATTGCTCAACACTGTCACAGCCCGTCTAGAAAGAGTTGTAATAATCAGCTATGTTAAGTACAAGAGTCCATCTCAATGCACCATGAAACTTCATATTTTCGACCACCATAATTAATCATGAAATTTGTGGTTAAAACATGTAATAGCTTTGTTCGAGGAGTCTCCGCAACAGTACTCCAAATCTGAGTGAATAACAACTTATATTATTGGACTGAAGACAGTCTCCAAACATACGTTGACACCCCCCAAATATACGTTAGTCAGTTTTCTTCAGACTTAAAAATTAAATTTTCTCGGCTTAAACAGCAGTAGTTCTTCAAAGATTGCCCAATAAGGGGCAATTCTTTTGGTGCTGGCCAAGGGAGTTATAGTGAAGTCAATATTTGGTTCTTGTTTTTTTGTTTGTTTTTTTGTCTAGCTATTGAAACTAACTAATTACTTTTCAGATACAATTTGTTTGTGGTATTGAAATAAATTTGCGCTGGCAAAACTCATATGCATTCAGTAATAATGATTATCTATATATCTTTGTACAGAAATCTTAAAAAGAAATGAATTCATTCACATCCAGAAGTTTGGTCCTCGTTGCCCTCATCTCCTTCGGTAAGCGGATATCAGAACTTTAGCCAACCGGTATTGTTAAATAAATACCGCCTTGTTTTCAATCCTATCTTTACTTTTAAACCATAAGTTACATTCTGCGAAAGATTTATGGAAATCTCTCCGTTACTAGAATAAAGAACAGTTAGTAGATCGTCGTAGATTGTTCACAGTAGAAGCTCATTTTGACAGTATACCGAATGCTTTACCAGGAGTTACAGGAGTGCAGTGAAAATTGGCTGCCATCTTCGTTCCCATTTTACTCGCAATTATCTAATAAGCTGAATCATATTCTCATTTTGATTAGTTCTTAATTATGATCTATTGGAGGACAGACACAGATGTCGTCGCCAATGACAACTTCTGCTTCTTTGTCGCATAAAACTAATAGGTTCCATGTTGCCTCACAGTAGATGTCCAAAGTATGGTAAGAACATCGGTGACACCCTCGGCTGCGCTTCGAGTGCCTCTTTTTTTTGTTCCTATCACATTTTGACGTCACCTGTGATCTATCACCGAAAAGAAGCACGGCAATATATAATCCATTTGTAAAGAATATCCTCCCTCGGTCATGTCTGCTATCTTTTAATCACGAAAACATTTACGCGTTTTTGTTTTAGTTTTTCCTCTTACGAGGGCAGCTCTCTCATTTCGATGCAAAGTAACTTGCATTGTTTTTATTTACTTCTCAGTTACAATAACAACAACAAAAGGTTTGACACCTGAGGAGCGACTCATCACCAATCTGCTTGCAAATTACACGAAGGAAGCAAGACCAGTAAAAGATCCAAGACAAAAAGTTGTGGTCACATTTGGTTTTGAGCTTGTCCAGTTGGTCAATGTTGTAAGTGGGAGCAACTAACAACAGTTTAAACAAACCATTATTCTTTTCTGATCAAGAAGCATTTATTTCCCTATTAAAATTAAACCTTCACGAATTCTTTTTCCTTCATCAACGTTGTGTTATTTGCTGATCCAACTGACATTTTCGGTCTCTTGTTGTGTTTCAGGATGTCAGAAATCAAATGATCACAACAAACGTTTGGGTTCGACAAGTAAGTATTTGCAAATTTCGCCTGACATTCACCTCGTGATTCGTTCATTCCCTCCCTAACTCACTTATTTACTCACCAGCCTAACCAACCTTACATATCTTTTCTAATTTGTCAGAACAGAAACACTACTCTTTTATCAGCGAGACCAAATCTTTTTCAAGACGGTTGCAACGAGTAAGACATGTCCATCGAACTTGAATAAATTTCTTGATTAACATATTTACTGTCGGCAGATTTGGGACAACGAGCTTCTCACGTGGGACCCTAGGGATTATGATCAAATTCAGACGGTCAGGCTGGACGCATCCTTAGTCTGGATTCCAGATATTGTCTTGTACAACAGGTTAGTGCTGACTTGTCAGAAACCTCAGTCCCGTTGGAACGAACTTTTAAACGTGTTCTCATCGTTTGCAGCGCAGATAATGAATTCAGCGGTGGTACTGATAAATACAAGACTCCGGTGATTTTGTCAAGTAATGGGAGCTGCAGTTGGTTCTGTCCGGCTTCTTTCACCAGTACATGCCCAATAGACGTACAGTACTTTCCATTTGATCGTCAGAAGTGCGTATTGAAATTCGGCTCTTGGACTTACGAGGTAATTCTTGCGTCATAAGTGGCATTTTTAATAACTTAAAGGACGACTAAAAGAAAAATATGGAAGTCATGGTAAAATAAGTTTCTTTCAAAGCGAAAAGATTTTTCCCGATAAAAATAGCACTAAAAAAAAAAAAAAAGCAAAGTGTATCGCTTTTTCCTCTTCCTCGGCTATCTCATTGCGTTAAGTGACACTTCACGGGAAAAAAAAGAAAGAACCTGTCAAAAGGTAAGTTAGCCTCTTTTCGTAACAACGAGCATCATGAAAAGACAAGAGACAGGAAAGGGAGGCCGCTTCTGAAAAGCAGCCTGAGGAAACGATGATGAAGACGAAAATGACTCCGACGCTGTGGTCTATGACAATGATGACGACAATGCGGATGGTGATGATGACAATAACGATTACGAAGATGATAATCGTGACGATTACGAAGATGATAACGTGACGACGATGATAAACTAATGATGACGATAATGTTGATGACGACGATGATTATGATTATGGTTTTGACTAAGATGATAATGATAATGACGATAACGATGACAAAGATGATGAAAATGACGATGACGTCGGCGAGCGCGATGACGATCCACGATGAAAAAATTCGCTAACATGTTGTGTTTACCTTTCCCATTGTTTAAACTTACCTAGGGCAAAATTTTGAGACTGGTGGTATTGTTTTCCTTGAGCAAACAGCAACGTTCTTTGATAGGAACGCACGATCGGTTGTGATCACTATAATAATCCTCTCTTAATTCCTTTGTTCTTGAAGGTAATAGACCTCGACATGAAGGAAGAAAATGGATCTTCACAATCTCAGTACATACAAAGTGCCGAGTGGAATCTGTACGGAATCAAAAAACAAAGAAACGCAAAGAAATACACATGCTGTAAGCACAAGTTAGCAGATATCAGTATAACAATTATCATGGATCGGAAGCCTTTATTTTATCTTTTCAACCTTGTCATACCATGTTTGATAATCCTCTCCATGATTCTACTCGGCTTCTTCCTTCCTCCGGAGTCGGGTGAAAGGATCACACTCAGCATCACAGTGCTGCTGGCTAATGCTGTCTTTCTTCAGCTGGTCGGAGAGAGCCTCCCAAGAAACTCTGAGACTGTCCCTCTTCTTGGGAAGTTCTACATAACTATCATGGCGGAGATCTCCATTTCGCTGATGCTGACGTGCTGGGTTCTAAACATTCATTATCACGGATCAGGGAATTCAGTTAAGGCAGTACCCTTATGGGCTCGTATCATTGTACTACAGTGGCTCGGGTACATACTCTGTGTGGGTAAACCAGATGGCAGTTCGCCTGATATACCAAACACAGACCTCAGATACCATCAAGACGACAGCAAGAGGAGGGGTGTGCCTTTTGCACTCGACTGGGAAACCACCTTTGCACCAGCTGCCAATTGTCACTGCACAAGATGTATCAATGCAAGGGGAACACATTACAACGGCGAACGCAGTCCGGACGAGTCTAAACTAATAGAGGTTCGGTACACCAGAGATTCGTCTCCTGTGGACTTTCCAGAGACACGGCGAGAAAAACTGCCAAGGGAACCTAAACTCCCAGAGGAAATTAGCGTACTTGCGAACAGCGTGAAGGAACGTGAAAAAGTTGAGAAAAACCAGCAGGACTGGAAGTACTTTGCCATGGTAATGGACAGGTTCTTTTTCTGGTTTTACTCCATGACTATTCTGGTCTCGACTTTAACCATCTTCTTAAGCCGAAGTGACGAGGAAATTGGAACATAAACGTAACCAGTTTCGCTGAGGATGAGATAGGTTTCCTTCACAGGGACGCAATATCCAAATCTCTGTTGAAAATTTAGATTGCATTATCTGTGGCAAGTAACTTCTTCAAAATCAGTGCCACGTCTTCAGTCTAAAAACGTTTGACAAAAGGTGCGCGATATTGGTCGCTTAAGCAACATGGTTAAAGGTATGAGTTTAGTGGAAAAATCCAATGTTGATAAAAAACTCAGATGCATTTGTAAAGTTAGCTAATTCAAGACTTTAAATAAATTATTTAACAACCAACATAAAAATATATCCACGCATGAGCAAAGGCTCTATTGCCCAGGTAAGTCGAAGCCTGTTTGTAAGGCAAAGTATATTGGTGCAATATGCCGCAAAAGAAATCCAAAGTTTAAAGTAGAGCAGTGATTTTCTTATTTATTTTCGATTTCTAATACCGGGAACCGACATAGATAATCTTTTAATACCTTAATTCAAAAGATCTGATGGTCAATTCTCTTTTTAATGACTATTCATTTTCTTGAGAATCAGTTGGGAGATTTTGGTGTTATCTCAAGGTAACCCCACATAGATGATGGATCTTTCTCTTCTCGTAATTTAGGTGAAGTAGAGATATTTAGAGATGTTGATCGTTTCTCGCTTTTGAAAACTTGAGTGTTAAGGATCTGAAAGTCGTCTTTTTGATTCTTAAATACAAATATTGGAGTCCCTGTCCGGGGCTGCAAATCTTTCAAGGCAGCTGCAGTCATTCTCGACGTATGTTACTAAGAAAAGGTCACGAGTCAGTGGAATGGGCAACCAATAGTTGTCTCACAAGGAATTGCCTCACCTTTCACTGGGCTATTACACTCTTTCACTATAACAAAAATCGATAGTTTTTTGATGATTTGGAAACTACACAATCAATTCAATAATAACAATAAATTTAATTCGGTTACAATTGATGCAAGTATTTGTTTTCCATAAATTCAATAGCTTGCGGAGGATATTGGCTAGACTTTACTATTCCATAAGTTAGATGCCTTGTTTTCTCGAATAGTACCCTTCCCGAATAGGCGCCTCACCCCTCCTCCCTCACTTTCTTAGAGAGTAGGAATAAAGAGGAAAACCTGTTTCTTTATCTCTCTTCTGTAGACTTTTAAGCTTCAGCTACAGTAGCCACCCTCGAATAAGCATCCTCCTTCCAACAAGTACCCCTTCTTTTAGCCACCGGGCGCTTATTCGAGGAAGTACGGCATTTCATGCGTATCTTCAAATGTTTTATTATCTTAAAATTGTCTCAATTTTTTTTTTGACATCAAAGAGCTCATCAGAAGCGATGAAATATGCTCCCACCGTCAAAATATCTTCTGGTTGTTTTTCTTCACAAACAAAAAATGTTATTGACAATTTTAAGTAGCTACGGTTAAGAGCAATTCCTTTACGGTATAATATATATATATATATATATTTAATAAATAATCCTTAATGTTGTTGAAATGATTCTAAAGTTTTGATCACTAAACAGGTGTGCTGCATAGATGTGAAATTCAATTATTAAAATTGACGATGTAACAATAATGCCTGCTGTTATCGTGTTAATGCGTAAACATTGTTTGAAGACATCTGGATTATTGGCCGCGATAGCTCTTGAGATAATAAGAATCTCAGTCACCATATATTATTTTTACCATTGTCCATAAACTCCAATGCTATAAATTCGTACCCAGAGCGTTACATGAAGAATGCAGTGAATAAGGCCGAGTGCTTAACGCAATTGCTTGATTTAGATTATTTTAAAATTATCTCTCAGGCGAGTCAGCTAATGATTAGATATACATATTATCTGAAATAATTTACCGAAAGCTGAAACTTTCTTTTCAGTGTTAGAAAAAAAAACTGGCAATTTACAAACTCTACGTACAGGCCAGCTCAGAGGGGATACCGTCCCATCTCTTGTTTTTCATTTTTTTTTTTTAACTATTTGCCTCACTGCAATAAAAAATTTACAACGAAGTATGATAAGGCAGAGTAAATAAAACAATTTTATGGCGAGAAAACGTAACAGAAACTGCGATGCATAGAAGGTTAGAACGAAAAATAATAAAATTCATACATATAGTGTAATACAATACAATATAAGATGATGTATAATAGTATTATAATAATATAAGTTTTGGCGAATGACTGACAAAAAAAAACTTTCAAACGAACTCGTTCTTAAAATAAGATTTTGGTAAATTCAAAATTTATGACAGTGCTGATATTTGTTAGAAAGGCAATGTTAATGTTGATAATACATGTAGATATAATATTAAAGCACTGAGGCTTGGCCTTTTTACTTTGACCGGCCTAAACGGACAAAAACTTTGCAGAAATCGCCAGAGGATAATCCAAAAAATTCTTTATCAGGGATGTTATAGTCGTCGCATTCCCATCTTGAGTCTATAGGAGTCAACGACCAGTGGTGCAAATGTGGGACATAATTCGCATAATTACTCAATCTTCCTTGTGAATTGGTATCACCCCACCTTTGATATGTCCATTGGTTACAAAGTCCAGCTGTTCTGGAATTATCATCTTCCATTCTTTTCAACGATCTACAGGCCAAGGGTCGCACATCACTCTGTTTGCTGAAGTACTGGACTACAGCTCCACCAGCAACTGTGGTAAAATGGCACGTACGTCCTTTTTATTTTCTGCAATGGATCGCAGCTGATTGAAAAACAAGAGTGATTGGATATTTTGTTGCTGTGGTAATTGCTGATTTCACGATATGATGACTCAATCTTCAGAGTGTCAATTGCTAGTAATATAAGCTGAACTGATCTTCATCTTGAATGGCGATTAGCACGATTTTCATGAATTAATAACCAAGATTAGCTTACAAATTGCGAAATAAAACCGGTCATTTAGATGGGTTAACACACAGGAGAAAATATCAGCTGAAAGGGGGTGAATGCAGGCAATAACCAGTTCACAGCGACAATAATAGAAATAATTCATCTTTTAGAGGTTAGTCGCGGCTACACTGACATTGACTTAATTTGACTTAAGTTCGCGAGTCTTGCCTACCTGAAATTGCTCAAATTGCGTATCAATGTTATGTCTCGAGGGAGAAGACCTCATGTTCTCTTCGGTTATGGGTCTCCATGTCGGTCGATATGAAATTTTTCAACTCTGCGCGAAACAATGTCGTTGTTACGTGTTACCGTTGTTTGGTGATCGTTTTACTCGACCTGGTTCATTCTCACTCTCAGATGTTTTCATGCAAACATGTTGCATCAACTAGCTCGAAATAATTAGTGTAAGAAGTAATCAGCATAATTAAATAAACATAATGTTCCGAGGGGTTTTTGTTAAGATTGGTTTTGCCAGCTTTTGTAAGGTTTTCAAACTTGTAAGTGAGGCGTTTGAATGTTGAAGTTTCGCTCTTTTGATTTTCACAAAGATATTTGTATTTTTCAAAATTCTCAAACCAAACTGCTTGGCTGTGTTAGGTCTGGGTATGAGACTACCATGGCCCTAGCATAACATCCTACCCACCTACCCCTCCCCAGTTCCTATTGCTTTAAAATTATACAAAATGGCGACAATACTTAAATTCCGTCAAAGTTCCCTAAGAGTAGTTGGGGCAGCTAAGGGTAAGAAAGTTCCAATTTTATTGGTTTTTGATCTAAAATTTAATGTCGAATTAGAAGCGTGAACTCTGGCAAAACTGACGATTTAGTCTTAAACTTTTCGACTGTCACACAAGGTCATACAGGACGAAAGCTCATTAAAACGGGATTCTTGAGCTCGAGAAGTTTCATTTTTTTGCCTGTATCAGGAATTACCCTGTTTTAGTATGGAAGAACATGAATTCAAATCACCTGAAATTAGCCACTCGTATGGGATGACGCGAAAGCATTAACGATGACATTGGAATAAAACCTTACTTTCTGGAACAGAGAAGGCACTAGGTCAGTTCCAGGCCATTCTCCCCTCTTTCCTCGTAAATTAGTTACGAGAATTTGGTGTTAAATCGAGAAAACAACTTTCATATGAGGAGAAGTTACATGTTAATCACTTTTGGGAGTTTAAGGCTAGGCTTAATTAGCTAAGGTATCAGGGGTTTCAAAATGTGGCCAGTTGCAGAAGAAAAATTGGAAAAACAAAATGTTATGGCGATGGGCAAAATCTGATCAAATCACGTGGTGAGCACTTCCTTCTCCAGATTCCTCTCATCCATGTTTGCTTTTTTTCCTCTTCTTTTATCTCTGAATATGCAGCTGAAATATTAACCATTTTATGATTATTCCCAACAGAGGCATGCCAAGGAAATGTAGTAACTAAACCATTTTTGGGTGGTGGCCATTATAGAAGGTGCCTGTCATCCCATGTTAATGTCCAAAAACATGGAAGTATAGCCATTTTGGAGCTAAACAGGAGACCAGTGAACAGCTTCAGCCTGGAATTTTTAGAAGAAATAAATACCACTTTGGGCAGCCTTGAAAATGATCAGGACTGCCAAGGAGTTATAATTACTTCAGTAGGTTACCATGTAGTACATGTATTTTACTTTAAATGAAGTTCTGATTAGCCATTAGTGGGTTTTAGATCTACTTTTGGTGTGTTAACTGCAAACTACAGTAAGAAGTTTGAGGCTAGAAGTTGGGAGATTATCAGCATTTTAGACTGACATTAGCTTTCACCTGACCATAAATGTGTACATGGCCATCTTGAATTAAAGGTAGAATGGAAATTCTTCATTTCAAACAAAAAAAGTGGCAGAAAGATTCATTTTTTAATGTCCCAAATGGATCAGCTAAAAATAGAAAACCTCATCTTATATAACTAAAAGGAAAAATGTGGAAAAACTTATAAACAGGAGGAAGAAAGCACAGAGGGAGTTTACCCTACCTGAAACTGCCAAAAGTTCTAACATGGAATGCAAATAGCAAATATGACTGCTGGAGTCTGGTCACATGACTCCTTGTGGTTTGTGGTCACAAACAGGAATCTAGAATTCTCTTTTGCTCTTAGAAAACAGTCAAGGTGTCCATGACAAGTAATGGAAATAGAGTAGGAGAAGATTTTATAAGCCTATAGGAAGCCTAAATAAAAACTACTGCAGCCTTTCCTGGTTTCTATAGAGCTCACAAAGTATCTAGGAATAATATTAATCCAGTCTTGGAAAAGGATGGAAGTGCCAATACTGCTTATTCTCCATTGTCGAGAGAGAAACTGTGAGAGGAAAGAGGATCGTGTAAATACACAACTGAATTGAGTTGATGATGATTGTTAGACTAATTGTTGTTGTCTCTGATTGAATTAGGGTGTTCCAAAAGTGTTTTCTGCAGGGCTTGACCTAGTGAAGGAAATTTACCAGCCTTCAGATAAAAAGCGCCTTGCTTCTTTCTGGAGTAATTTTCAGGAGATGTGGCTTCGCTTGTATGGATCACGGCTAGCTACAATGGCAGCTATTAATGTGAGTTATCCATTCAGTTAAAATTGATATCTTTATTGTCTCCTTCACCATCTCTTCCATTTTCTTTTAGGATTAACAATTCTAATTGTTTGTCTGAGTATTAATCCTTGAAATACATGTCACCTGAGCCTCTAAATTCTCTTTGAATTCCAAAATTTTTCTTGGAGATTTTAACCCTTTAACTCCCAAGATCTGATTGGTAACTGTCCTCTCTAGCTGCTACACATTTCCTTGTACATTATTTACAAGAATTTGGTGTTAGATCAAGTAAACAACCTCTACCTGATAAGTTTGAATGTTCTCATTACCTGTGTGCTTGATAATGTATGGAGAAGTTACATGTGAATCATATGTTTGATTTAAAGGGTTAATGATTGTAGGTTGCCAAATGGGAACTTGGAAAAGAGTTGAGCTTATGTGTTAATCAAATGGAAGCTTCAACATCCCCCCCCCCCCATGGAAACCCATAGGGCATTTGAACATTTCAAAGTTGGTTCATTCAAATTCTTGTCCCTCAGGATTAAAAGAATGTGCAAATGCCCCACCCAAGTACCAAATTTGATGATCAATGTTTTTATAAAAGGCAAGATCAGTGACCATGACTTTCTAATAGACCTTTTCTCTGGAGCTACCAGCTTACAAAAGTAAGCTTTATAACTTTAAACACCTCCACATTAAAAGAAAAAAACACATATGTTCTGCTAAAAAAGACTGGACAGTTCAGGTTCAAATTTCCCACCACACCCAAGCAAGGTTCAAACTCCCCATCCTTAGCTTTGGAGGACAGTCAAATGCCCTGTGGGTTGCCTTGTGGGAGGGACATGTTGAAGCTTTGATTTGATTAGTGCATAAGATCCATGTTAGACTGACACCCTCTGCTGAAATTGGCCCCTTTAGTTCATCCCTTGCCAATTTGGAGCATTCCTTTATTTTAGGGTCATGCTATGGCAGGAGGCTGTGTCTTGGGCTTGTCATGTGACTATCGTGTCATGGCTGAGGGATTCAGAATTGGTATGGTGGAAATTGAGGCAGTAAGTTATTTTTAAGTTCCTTGACAAGAAAGTCATGTGATAATAAATGAGTTACTGATGGGGCTACTTGAGACATTAGTAATTGTGATGAATGAGTGTGGTGAATTTCTAACACTCTGCATGCTTTAAATCAGCTCTCAATCATGAGCATGGAAATAATTTGGTTTTATCAATTTATTTAATAATGTGAATGACCACTGGGAGGGGCTTCCAGAGCTGACATTTTGAGTGCCAGCCAGTGATCTAGCCCTTTGCCAGAGTGAATTGGGATTTGAATTTTGCAACAGTAACAGCATAAAAACAATTATCATTCCATTCAATGCTCCAAATCCATTATCTGATAAAACTAACTTTGTTGAAACAAATATTTGATAAGCTCAAATGCTGGTTTGAACAAAAACTCCTAAATGGGTTTTTTTAATTTTTTTTTCTCAATTTTATGTTTTATAGGGTGTCCCACCACCAACTTGGTGAGTGCAATTTATCACAAGTAGAGCGCTTTTCGATTGTGTGTCGTATAAGCGTAATAGAAGTGTCGTTTAACCAATACCAATGTAATCACAACGGCCAATCAGATGACAGGAAAAAAACCTTTTAGAGCCAATGATGACTCAAAATAAAACCGACCAAACTGCCAAAAGCGCGGGAAAACGCGAGCGACCAAGTCGTGATTGGTTTCAGTTAAATTGCATCTGATTGGTTGAGAAAGGGCGCAAGTTTCTTAGACTAATTACAACGAGAAGTAAAGTAGAAGCAAGGTAGTCCTGGATTAATTTCGACACTCGATTCAAAGTTTCTCAATTCGTTCAACAGTTGTGGTTGTAGTGGCTTGTACGTTGCCTGACCATTCACTTGTATTGTAATGGGGCGGACGCTGATATAAATCAAATCAAATTTGAACAACGCCGCGTCGGGGAAATGTCTCATATCAACGGAACTTTCAAGCGTCTATCAATCTCAACTGGTTTATTATTTATTGGAAAGCTCGTAAAAACTGAAATACAATAAATTAAAATAGGCTATTACCATACTATAAACGCTAATCAAAATGTCCTAAACTCGAACGCGCGGGTCGTGTAAATAGATAAATCAAAACAACACAAATATCTTAAGCGCAACAAAACTACCTTGATTATACACGTTTCGGTTTATAAATACAAAAATAAACAAGATGACATACCTCTTTCCCCGTTCTATTATTCTAGTAATTCGACAATCCTTCGATCTGGCTATGCTTGCGACTAATGTCATGTCACACAAAACAAAACAAAAGGGTATTGAACGTTACGCAAATCATAACTGAAAATAGTCTTCGTTGCATGTATTTTCCATCAATAGGGTGGTTGGTACCATGAGAAATGTGGTTGGCCAAAGTTGTACAGAGAAAGCGATCCTAAGTAACAAGAGGTACACATCCGAGGAAGCTCTAGCCGTAGGAATGGTTGATAAGGTTGTACCAAAGGATAAAACCATGGAAGAGACGATGGTAGAAATGGAAAAATGGGTCGCTTTTTCTAGTAAGAATTTGAATTAACTGTTTTCTCCAGAAACGCCCGCCGCTCTGACATTGAACACTTATATTCGCTTCATACTCCTAACAATTTTTTTTAGGTTTTTGATACCTCACGGCATAACCCTGCACCCCCTCCCCTCGTCCAACCCTCCAAATTTCCCTGTCACTCTTTATGAGAAGGTTTTGTAAATTATTTAAGATGACCAACGTCATTAACTAGATTAAAAATTGGAAAAGAAGAACACTCTCCTAGTCCTTCGCTCTCAGTGTGAGTTCTGGTTCATCTAACCGATGACCTTGTCTTCCATTTATGAATTTTCTTTAGAATATTATGGTAATTCAAGGCAGCATCGCGTAATTGATAGTTTGCTTAATTCTCCTTATATGTTGGCTCTGTGGTGCACACTTGCACACTGAACAGGGGGTGAAGTAGTCGTGTGTTTTTCTCCATTTTTAGGCAAAGCTAGAGAATTAACCAAAAAAACACTACGAAAAGAGTTTGTGGAGGCGCTGGAGAATAACAGAGCCGAAGACATCAAGGACTTCTGTGACTGTATACTCGATGAAAATGTACAGAAAGCAATTGGGAAACAAATCGAGAAAATCTCCAAAAAGAAATAGATACCGAAAGCACCGCGTGAATTGTGTTGTCGTCAACGATAACAATTTGGCAAACGAAGAGAAGTCAGCGAGTGAACAAGTGAACTGGCATCTGGAGAACTTCCTTCATTTTCTGAGACCAACTTGAAGCGAGGCACTTTCAACATAAAACTGCCATTATGTAAATTAAACATAACTTTTAGAATAAGTATCGTCACCAATTCACATATCAACGTATAATCACAGTTTGTGTGCGTGGCATGGTTTTCCTATCCTGTCCTTCAAAGGTGGATTGCCCGACCAAATCATGTCTGCATTTTCAGACGTTTCGCTCTTTCATGGCATTTTAAAGGTCGCTGCAGGGGCACTTTGTGTTAGGAGACGCTTGTTTGACCTTTTCATTTGAAAAGGAGCCTCTTAAATCGCAGATATCCACTTCCACTATATCTCGAACTTAAAGCCGCGCCTCTCAAACAGGCTTCAGTGTAAATCCCCCTTGGATTTTTTGTACCTTTGGCTTCTCGAAAGCGCCGCGTTTTAGTCTCAAACTAAGTACGTGTTTACCAGAGGTAATACTTTCATATTTATATCCTCGTTTTATAGCACCATCAAAACAAGATAGGATGAGCAGGTGATGTTGAATTGCAGATATCACCTCCCTTGTTTAAATTATAATTCATTCACTGTTTCATTTATAATTCATTCACATCTGTAACCAAGGATTTTCTTTTGTAACACAATACTGCGTGCACTTGTAAAATCAAAGTGGTCGCTATGAGTAAATTGTTCACGTGGATATGTGGAGCATACCCTTTGGCACCTCAGATCTCTACGTCACCCCATTTCAGAACTGACTAACGAAAACAGACCCGCTGCTTTTGCTAAAACACAAACTTGACTGCAAGGCGCCATTTCAGAGAGTTCAAGTATTTATCCAACTTAAACATGACATTGAACTTGGGACCATGAAGAGTCATAAACCAATACCGTGTGGCGTTAAAACTAGTTTTAATCTACCACAAAATGCCTATTTACAATTTTTCTTATTATTTCACGCTACGAAAATTATAAGCGTAATAGAAGTTGTACGTTTATTTACCAGTGTCTCATTTATAAAGAAACAGAGCGGCTCTTTGTTTTAGTGAAGGGTGCAAATCTCTTATTTTGGTTTTACTTTGTTGGATGGCCACATCTACCTCGCGTTTTCCTCACGAAGTCTCTTAAAGGGTTTCAAGGGAAGATGTTTTGTTAAATAAAGACAGATCGTCTGTCTGTTTCGTTGGACGCTGATTTGAAAGGAAATCAAGCGGGTAGCAAATGGCATACTGGAGATGCTACTTCAGCAAAATGTACAACATAGTCTTGAGCAAAAGCCCTGTCTCGCTCTTCTTCTCTTTAGCATGACGGCAAAGGGTTGGTACCGAGGCCAAAAGGTATGACTCTAAGCCCGCTCTTTTGTTTTGGTAGAATGATGGCCTCATGCACCGTTGGTTACGAGCTCCTGAGTTTCTAGAGTTTTGTCTAAATCGTTGAAACGAGACACTTGCTATCTGAACGACAACTTGGTTAAAACATAGTCGCTTTGTATCCTAAGAAGCTTTCATCGTTCATTAAATTTTAACTTAAGAAACACCTTGCAAACGGGCGTCTAGATAACATATCGGCTTCGATACGTACGTTTTCTCAACTAGAATTAAGCGAAGAAATGAAAATCGCAATTTTCTATCATAAAATGTTTTTACAAGGTCAAACTAGGATTGGCGAATGCCTGTACTTATACTTTTAATCTAGTGTTGTAGATTCAGTTAACTTCTGTCGGAGTATAGTTCAACTGTTTCAGATCTAACACTCACTCTCGTCCCGTGGTCCAATCCCCTTGCCTGTTGGCTTTGTTTTCTTTTCCTTTTTTTTCTTCGGCGGCCTTACTTCGAGTAGTGTTTTTTCGGTGTCGTTTGATCTTACAGAACTGCGACCATCGTCGTCATCAACAGTCGACTGGTTCAATTTTTGTTTCTTTTTCTTCTTAGTTTCATTTTGGGGTTTCTCGTCCATTTCCGGGTCCATCTGAGCTGCTTCATCTGTGTGTTCCTGCCTTTTCTTCTTCTTTTTCTTTTTATCCTTCTTCCCTGTTTCCACATTGGTTTCTTCCTCGATGTCCCCTCCCGTTGAATCCTCTACTGCAGATTCCTTGGCCTTCTTTTTCTTGATTTTTGGTTCAGCGGTCTCCTCTCCACCTTCATTTGCACCTGCACCTTGTTTATTTCCTTTCTTTTTGGGTTTCAGCAATTCCTCATCCACTTCATCTCTAGTGCAAGGATCAGTTAAAGGCCTCTCTAATTCTTCTGTGTTCTCTTTTCTCTTTCCTTTCTTTTCCTTTCTTCTCTCCACTTTTTGTTCTTGAGGTTCACCGGTCGATGTATTATCTGCTTTTTCGTCGGTTGCTACAACCCAAGCGTCTTTTGTATTTTTCTCTCGTATCATCTTCTCTTTATTTTCTTTCTTCTTCTTTCGCTTCTTGTCATTCTTCTTCTTGCTGCCTGTATTTTCAGGTTCACTGTCGAACTTAAGCGGTTGAACACCATCAACAGACAAGGAGTCTCCAAAAATGCTTTCTATCTCGGCATCTGTGGCGCAACGACTCTCTACATTTCTCTGTACATCGTGTAATATTTGAATTAGTTCGTTTTCGGTCGCTTCGGCTTGGGAGTCACTGAAGCTGCTTCTTCCGTCTGCACTTGGAGTGTTTCGCGTCAAGTTTTCTTTAGCAGTTGGTTCTGTATCAGTGATCAAGAAAGAAGGACTCTGAATTCTGCTTGGTTCCATTTCAGTGCCAAGATTAACCATTACGCTTCCACGATGGCTAACCGAGCTGCCGACCCTTACATCGATTTCTTTCGCCAGCGGATTTGTTTCATCGTCGACATCCTCCTCCGATCCCTTCTCGTCATCACTCAATTTTTCGTCGTCGCTGTTAATTCCGTCGCTGTCATCGTTGCTATCATCGCTGTCACTGTTACTTTCATCAGAGGAGTCATCGTCGTCACCAGAACCGTTGACTTGATCAAAGACCATATCCTCCACCATCCGCTTTTGTTGATAATATTGCAAGACACTCTCTAGCTCATCTTCGCTGTACTGGTTAAGGAACTTCTCGAAAACTGGAATAGAATCACAAAGTTCTTCCTCGTAATAGTCCCAATCCACTTCCATTAACAGCCTCATCAGGTTTTTCTTCTTTTCCGTGCAGTTTTCGCTTTGGAACCAACGCGTCTTCCTCATATCTTCGAATGTGATGTTCCTCATGAAATGCATGGCATTATCCGCGTCATCGGCGATTCTATCAAAGTTGAGTTCTAGTTCACTCTTCGGTTCTTTGTACACTGGGTGTATGGCATGACCGATCGACTTGCCGATGTTTTCTTTCAGCCGATGAACCATGAAGTCCACTATTTCGTATTCATTGGACTGTTTTTCCACATCGCTGCGCACTTCGGCAAACGCATCGTTAATGATGGAAAGGAACATGTTAATGAGCACAAACACCATGGTCACTGTGTATGTATAGAAGAAAATTGGTCCAATAATCCGATTGGCTGAAATCATTTCCTTCAAAGTAAACTTGCCGAGTATTGTATCCATCAAAGAGGCGCAGCTTCTTAAAAATGTCCCAAACCCTTCCATTGCCTGCCCAAAAACTAGGCATGCAAGAAGTGCAAAGGCTAGGAACGCAAGTGCAAACATAAACATGAATGATAACAACTCGATGAACGACCTTTTGAGGACTTGCTGCAGCAGTGACATACGACGGTTGAATCGCAAGAGACGGAACAATTTCAAGAACGAGAAGAACACAATGAGGCCCATGATGCACTTGAGCCACTCGTCCAGGAAAGCTGTGTAATGGAAGCTGACAAAAGCAGTTCGGTCTGTGTTCATATCCCTTATCGCATCTTCGGTGAATTTTAGCCTTGCGAAGTATAGTCCCACTGCAGACAGAGATAGCAGAGTCACAAGAATTTCCAGAATGCTCCATGGATTCTTGAGGTGCTTCCTTCCTTTCTTCACGAACATCTTTATCTCTTTGACCACGAAGAATGTGCTGAACAAAAGGTATACAATTTCGCACGTCAAGACAAAGTACATTTCGCCTCCAACGTACCGGAAGAGACGTAGAGTCAGAATGCTGGGATACGGAGTCAGACTTCCGGTGGGAAGTTGTTCAAACAACAGCGTAACAACGCAGAACAGATTAGTGTTTGCGTTGTAAATCGCAAACTCAGAGAAGATAGCTCTCGTGTAACGGTCCAACCATTTGCTTAAACTTAGGTTTCCCGTTATCGTGAGGGTCTCGTTTATATCCTTGGGCAACATTTGCACGTATCCTTCAAAATAGAGAGACAAATGTTAGTGAGTGCACACACCTGGTGAGTTACACAGATCTGGAAACAGAGAATCGAACTTGAAGTTCCTTTTATAAATTAAGATCTCGTAAGAGGAAGCATTTGATCTCTTGATGGTATAACCACAGTGAAGGAACACAAGTAAAAGATGACGAAACAAGAAATTGGAAAGAGTTCTTAAAAAACTCTTGTAGTAGTTAAAAAAAATGTACTCTCTCCATTAGGGCTGTTATTTTTCATCAGGAAAATGTTATCTTTAGGATAATGTGGACTGATACTACAAAGTCATGCGGATCATAGACAGCTTGATTCATTCTTAAGACGCACAACTGGTTAAGATGAGGCCAAGGTGTTTCATAAGATCATGCAACCGGAAGCCATGTTCAAAATCTACTGTCATTCAAACTGATACATATTAGGTCTATTGCTAAATTATAGAGCGGCACCATTTACCTCCAGCGCTGTATGTGGCTTTGTAACCCCAGTATGGGTAAGTCTTCAACTCCGTTCCGCTCTGGTACGCCCAAGGACCTGGGACTTGAGGCTCTTGACTTGGGGTGGAAGAGGCACTGGGAGTGGGTGATGATGAATTAAGTGGTGGTATGAGCGGTTTCACTTTCCATCCAGGTAAATATGAGCCTTGGTCCTCCAATTCCATGCTGTAGAAATCATTGCACTCGCTGATGACATGATGAAAGGCTCTCTTGTATTTGCAGGTGTCTGTAACGAGGCAAACATTTATTCGTCAGCAAAACCACCTTCGCAAACGTGCTCTAAGTGCTCAAATGCCTTAAGAGTTTCCATTCCGGTGTAAGCACATAAAGACTTGATATAAATATAATCGCCTTTCATTCCCTTTGAGGCTCAAATTGAAAGGTTACAACGTGTACCTCACATCTAGCAATTTTTTGGTCTAAACGAACATTCGCAACGGTGTCCACCAAAAGTTCTCAAGGAACTACCAGCTTTCAATTCTCAACCCTCAGAGTTTTTTCATTGTGCCTCAACTTAAAGGCGCCGAGGCCTCTTAAAGCATTCTTTTTTTCACTGAAATTCAAAAGTGGAGAGTGCTTGAAACCGTAAAACTACTTATCAGTCCCAGTGTCGTTAGTTCTTAAATTTCGTTTTGAAAAAGTAGCCTCACTGGATGGGTCCACTTCCTTTTTGTGTTTTAGATCTCTCCTTTCTTTGACAAAATATCTCACGGAAAACATTTAATATCTTGCCTTTCTTGATCCTCAACTGCCTAAGTCGTGCCACGCCCAACAGCCAAGCGTTTGGTGTGTCAGCGAGGTAACCCTCTTCATACTGAGTTGAATTATTGTAGAAGAATTCTGGATTCAAAGATGGGATGAAAGTCTCATTCAACCATTTCCAATAATGGTTAATCTCATGTACCTAGCAAAGAATAATAAATGGTCGTGTGAGAGGAAAACTTCGAAAAGATTTATTTTGATTATACAAGTATTTATCACGTCCATCATGACATTTTGATGCGCTGAGCGTGTTCATGGTACCCAAGGAACAAGAGAGATGAAATGTTCACTGTTGCTCATCAGTAATCTCGTATCTTGCGAAAGATAAGAAAGATTCATATCAGAAGAAAACCCTAAAAAAAGAATTATTCCAAGCGTGACATCTCATACTGTTCCCTTGCAAATAATTTAAAGAGGCAGGGTCTACCCCAAGGCACAACACACCCCTCAAAGCCAGAATATGTCCGCCATGAAAAATAAAGTTATTAAATAATATTATATCAGCTAGAACTCTCTACAGATTCTCGTTCTGTAGACATCGTCCCCTTCTACCTACTTGCTACAATAATGTAAAGCAATTCGAGTCCACTCTTATTAGTACCGGCCTACCTTATTAAATGTAAGATTCCCGCTGTAGGTAGCTTTCTCGAAGATGTTCTGCATGTACCGGGTCACTTGCGATGTTTTTAAGTCCCTGTTTCCGTAGCTAATGGTTAGTAGAACCAACAAGAAGATCATGTACCAGGCAATTTCTTGGATAATTGACTTCATCTGCTTTTCTTTCATGCGCAGCTGACGGGCGATCTCCAGCTTCGCCTCGTCTGGCGGTTTGTCAATGATTAGGGTCTTCAAAGCCTTTTGCGTCTCATCATCAAGATCTTCTGTGTTTTTGTGCAGCCACTCTTCGTCGGTCGCTAGGGCGTTAACTTCGGCATATGAATCTCCCTCGGCTTTTTTGGGGTCTTTGATGAGGAGAGCGAAAAGTGTCGCCAATGCAAAGACCTTAATTGGTTGATTTAGTAATATATCTTGCAGAAAGCTTATTGTCATGGAAGAAAGCCACGCTGCTGATTTATCAGAACCAAACTGCATGCCATACATTACCACGAAAGACCCCGATGTAACCACGGCTAAGAATGCAATGCCGTATGCCACGTACACAAACCAGTGAGGAAGGCCTTTTTTCTGCGCAGTTTTCTTCCTCTCTCCACCCATCTCGATGTCAATATCATCTATCTCTTCTCCCTCTGTTTTCACTGAGTATCGATTTTCCTTCGGCTTTGCTTTCCGGAACAAGGTAACAATAATGAGATTTATAGGGAAGACGATAACGCTACTTATGATTCCGATTGATACAGAGCGAATGGAGAAACTAAAGCCCATGATGTTGATTGCGTTCTTGGGTGTTTCGTTTTGGCCTATTTCATAAAACATGGCATTTGAAACCATCGTACACAGTAGTATGGACAAACAACAAGTCAAACGCTGAACTCTTGTGAAGTTGCTTCTTGGTGGCCGAGCAACAACCGAAAACCAAATATGGCCATCGGTGAGATTCTTCCTTACTTCAGACGTGAAAAGGACGTTGAATTTTGTTAGTTCTTTCTTGGACGCAGGGAAAAGAGTCTTCTCGATTTTGCCGTCACCTTCCTCGACCGCCAACCAGTCGTCACACACAAACCACCACCTCTGATCAGTTTGTATGTCTTGGATCATGATGCGCAGAAGATTCCACGATGGATAAGTCCCACCGTTATTGTGCCACACGCGAATCTGTTTTAAGTTTCCAAGAGACTGGGGAACAGTTAAGAGAAAAGCATCGACAGCCCCTATGAAAGATGGAAAATATGAACTGACACAAAACATACAGAAAATGAACTCATTATTGTTTTAGTACAATCAGAATGGGTTGTCTTGCTGGAAAAGCCATGACGATGGTTCTTCTCTATCAGTCATTGTGTTAAAAAATGATTGCATCCTAAGGGAAGCTGGTCCAGACAATAGCCTTTAACCCTTTAACTCACAGATCAAATTTGTAATTCTCCTTACTGTCAACCATACAATTCTTATAATAATTCGTGTAGTGTGATCGTCCGGGTGAGTGTAGTTCTGAAAAGAACTGTTGTTGGTGACTGATGTTTCGACTATCTGTGCGATAGTCATCTTCAGAGTCAAGTGAGGAGTAGTTGTCAGTCGATGATGTTATAAAGTCTGGTCTGTTGAACGTGATTGGTCTGTTTAGCCGTGATGTGATTGGCTGGAAGACTCGTGTAGAGTTTGTTAACAGTCATTGGTCGGTTTCGATCCGTCTGTTGTTTGTCGGTCTGTTTGTCGGTTTGTTGACGTCGTTAATGAGTCGTTTGTAAGGTGCTGGTAATTGTTGACATCTGTTGAGAGGCGTCTGTTCTAAGTTAGTGAACCAGCTTTCCAGAGTCAGTCGTTGAAAATAGTTTGTACTGCAGGTTAAGCATTTAGCAGAGTCCCAGTCGATTCTGTGATTAGTTTGTCGGTGATGTTCAGAAATGTGATTGTTTACATCGCCATTTCTAGTTGCTCGTTTGTGTTCAGTTAGTCGCGTGTTAAGGTTTCTACCAGTCTCACCAATGTAGGAGGCCTGGCAGTCGGAGCATTCGATCTTATAAAATCGCTCCCTGTCTGTTGTCTTCCAGCCAATCACATCACGGCTAAACAGACCAATCACGTTCAACAGACCAGACTTTATAACATCATCGACTGACAACTACTCCTCACTTGACTCTGAAGATGACTATCGCACAGATAGTCGAAACGTCAGTCACCAACAACAGTTCTTTTCAGAACTACACTCACCCGGACGATCACACTACACGAATTACTGATACTCCTGGGTTCAAACCATTTACTTAATTCTTATAATGTTAGTTCAGAGAATTTAGTATTGTATCAACCAATTATCCCTAAATTGCTATTTTTCTTTACTCTCATCACTTATCTGGTTGATTTGGTAATGATATTGTAATGAGAAGTTCTGTCTTGGTCACTCATGGGAGTTAAAATGTCAACAAAGAAATCTGTCGGTTCTCTTATTCAGTCACCGACGTATACTATGATTCAAGTTTGGACTTACAACTGAAATGCACCTCTTTTTCTCTGTCAGTTTCAGGGTTTTCCCTCACAAGAACTCACCGACTCGACCAGTTAAAACATAATTTTATTGCATTTGAGAGGTATAGAAATGTCTTAGCCTTTCTCGGTCCCCGTGAAAGTTACCCTTTTAAAGAGCTGCCTAGATTACAGTTTGTTTCAATCAGTATGCTTATTTTTCGTGGTCATCGTTTGTAATCTGCGCCAGTCTTTTTCATCTCAAGCATTTCTTCTTTCGTTTTGATTCTTTTTTACCACTATTTGGTATTATTATTATTATTATTGATTATTTTTTATCCTGCAAAAGCATTTCCTTGGTGGAGCTTCGTGTATTATTTTTGAACATTTAGAGTGTTTACAATGTGAAATAAAAATTGTGCCAAGAACGGTTTGACTACGGTTTTACTTTGACCCACATTACTGGCAAAATTATAAAACAAATAAACAAACCTGTTTTAAACGTTTTTCGTTTTGGATCTTTCATCACTCGTGGCTCACTGTCACCCAGAGCGCCAGTAACTACAATGGATACCTCTGCACTTGATCCGGCCCCGCGAACAAATCCCGTATGGACTTGAACCTCATAGCAATACGTATCTCGAGAATCGTTATCGGGCAGTGGAGTTACTCCGGTCTGTAAAAATAATATTTAATGATGTTAATAGGCTGAAGTTAAATCAACAGGTTAATATGGTTTAAGGGTTCCCACTTAAAATTGGAAAAGAGAAGCAGGATGTAGTAGTGTGTGGATCTGAAATGTGTGTTGTAGCCACCGTGAGGATGCACTCCAAGGCGACAAAGGCGTCTTTTGCACTTCTCTCAAACAAAACACTGATGAAGATGCGAGATGTTAAGTTACAACCAAAACTAGTTTCTGCAACACTAAGGAATACACAAAATTGGTTTGATTGTTTAAATCAGACAGGTGTTAAACCCTTTAACTTTTTTAAGTGATTAACTTGTAATTTCTCCCTTATCCAGTAAAAAAGTCATAAGAATGCGAAACATTATCACATACAAGTTGTTATCTTGATCTAACAGCAAATTTTTGAGACTAATTTACAGGAAAATGTGTTGCAGCTAGAGGGGAGAATTAACAATCTGACCTTAGGGGTCAAACGATTGAGAGATGATGGTTAGTTCCTGATTACCTTGAGTGCGTCATTCTTGTCAGCTTTTCTTGCCGGAATAAGACACAACAAATAAAAACCAAGGATGACGCAGAATGCAACGAGGGCGTGTGGACTTTCTAAGAGCTGATCAGGACTTAAATTCTTGAAGTCAATCGTGTTTGGTGCAACAAAGAAGTTGCTCCCAAATGTTGTCAAGTGGTTGGTGAGACACTCCGTGTGTGTAACATTTGATTTCGGTCCCACCTACAAAACAAAAGAACGATGTCGCACACTTCGATCTTTTACGGTCAGGTTTGACAAATACTTTTCATTTTGAAGATGAATCCTAATTTTTTATATTTATCTATTATTACTTTTATCAACATTATTATAACTATTATTATAATCATAATTTATTATAATGATCGTTAGTTTTTTGGCCACCGCGTTTCAAACCAAGTAACACCCTTGGAGTTTGAGCGAAAGTTCCGCAAATGATCTTTAGATTCAATAGGTTCCAATTTGTATTTTCTTTATTACGGAAGAGTAAAATAATCTTTCATCCTACTTCAATGCTTCTGGGAAGAATTACTGTCGATGAGCTCTATCTTGGAAACAATAGACCCTCAGTGAAGCAAGTGCAAAACCAGTCAATCCCGTTTTTTAATTCAGGGCATTTGCTGGTTTTTTGTTTCTTTGTATTTTTTTTTTCATTTCTGATTGGCTCGTTGTGACATTTTCCTTCATGCTACAGACATAAATGAAATAGATCAAAGCCTGTGCATGCGTGCAAAACGTGAAACAACTCCTTGAAGGAATTATGGTTACTATTAATATTGTTATTAGTTTTAATACCTTGACACCGTCTGTTCTCCAAATGTTAGTTTTTGGGTCATGATACAAACAGCTTGACGTGTACACCGAAAAGTTATATCCTATTCCGTCTCCAAGCTGGTCCTCGGTGAATGAACGGTTCTCTGGAAGCTTGTAACGCACCATAACAGAGTAGTTCCCCGCGGCCGTCCAGTTTAACACATCATTAGAGAGGAGGTATTCATAGGAAGAGGATGGAATTGTAGAGTTAAGCGAATTTGTGCGACCGGCCGAAAGTGTTACATTAAAGTCGAACTCCCCTTGGGAAGGATTTGGCTCGCCTCCCACTTTCACGTACATTTCCACTTCCACTGGAAGCTCTGGCTTGGTTTCAATGGTAACAGCGGACGAATTGTCAAGTATGACAAATTTGTGTAGCTTGAATTTAGACGTGTGAAGCTTATCATGTGTTGGATGTCTTTCGACCTCGGGCTGCTTTCGGGGCACCATGACACTGATTTCCTTTCCCGGCTCTAAAAGTTTGACACTGAATTCTTCGCGGCTTTTGTTCACTGACGTGTAGAAAGTAAAGCTTACAAGCTTGCTGTTATTTATCTGTTTCGAAGCTTGGCCACCGGGATAGAGATTAATTTCAGACAACATTGCCTGAAATCACCACAAAACATTGAATCAGTGTGTTAATAACACCCAAAAAAATGCGCTAAGTAAGGCTTTGCTTTATTAAACAAACATGCATATAACAATTACAGAAAGACCCAAGATATCATGTATGAACATATTACACATTTTTTGCTTTTGTTGTGATGGTTATAGTTAAATCTTTTCAAATTTGTTTCTGTCTTTGAATTAATTTTGAAAAGTGGGGCTAAAGCAAGTGCCTCAAATATCTGCAACTGTACTGCTGATTGGTCAGCTTGGAAGTGATTAGCTAGTAATACTTCCCCCCCGGACAGCCGAAGAGACAAGACCGCCCATTAATAGTCTGATCTCCCACCTTTTTCTCAGTACATTTACAGAAATAAACTACTTTCATTTGTTCCTGTGTGGTAAATACTAAAAAAATTATTAACCTTAGTTTCGATAAAAGTGGTGGACATCTACCTCTACATCGATGAATTATTGTCAGATATAGTTAATTGTTTAACGGGAATATTACATACCACTTGATCAAGAGTTCCGTTGCCGAAAGCTGTCGAATTCTCCGGAAGTTTTACTTCCGCCCCCTGGCTGTTACCGATCGTGACTGGCTTCTTTCCTAAAGTTTCAATATCTTCCTTGGAAACTCCCATTGACAAAGACGGTGTGTAAATTGTTGTGGCTTCTTCACCCGGAACTTTGGATGCTGTGAGAGCTTGAGACAAAGTATCCAGAGTACCAAGAACTTTCTTCATCTGAGTATTATTTTTGTTCTCACCGGACGACTACAAAAAAATAAAAAACAACGCAGAATTTTAAAAAATGTCCTGCGCTGTGACATTCCTTCAATGAATTTTCCTTGAGGTAAATGTAACTCATGTAGGTTGAGGCACTTAAATCAAAACAAGCGAACTCATTACCAAATATGAGCTTTTACCTCATTAATTTCTTTCAAATTACGTCAATAACTAAGCTTTTTTTTAAGATGTACACTCCAGAGATCTCCATTGTAGTCTAGTTGTAGCCAAATTACAACAGAAAGAAAACACAATTGGGGTATCATGTCAATCACAGCCATGAGACAAATTTAAGGGGGAGATTCTTAATCACTGATGATATGTAAAAGGATGGTCTTTTGAAATCTAGGACATTTTATGTATTAATTAAATAATCAGAGAATTTTCAAAATATTTCCATGACGATTTAACGCTTTAAAAGAACGTTAACAGACAGCAAAAGGTTTAGATCAATTGTTAAACGAGGTACGGCAAAAGCAACAACTTTCCGGGGCACTTTCGATACTCAGTGGACAAACTGCCATATATATTACTTGAAAATACCAACGGAAACTTTTTTCCGGGCCTGATATCATTACCTCTTCTGGCTTTTTCTGCTTTACATCCGCGGATTTAATGAGATTTACTGCTCCACCAAACACTGCCTCAGAGGCTGCTTTGATTTCTTCGCTGGACGCTCCTTCGTGATCCGTCGCTTGCTTTAAAATCGCCTTACTTGCATCGTCATAGAGGTTGGAGACCTTGTCCTGGTGACAATTAAGTAACAGATTACGAAGCGACGAGAACAAATGTTAAACCCTCGCACTTGTTAGGTACGGCCACACTTACACAGGGCTCTTATTTGCTAAGTAAGGAATTGTCAACTTACCACCATCTTCTCTGTATTCTGTTCAGGTTTATTTGTTACTGCCGTGAGAGTGCTGGCAAACTGAGCAACATCTGATAAGCTCGTTTCTTCGGATACTTTTGCCGAATCAACCACAGCTATAGCGAGTTTTTCTCTCAGCTGAGGACGAAATAAAAACGTCATTGTCAAAACGCTATCCTCATCGATTATGCTTTGTGACGGAGGGTACAGGGGCAAAAAATGACAAAACTTACACTCGCTTTATGCTACAGAAACCGGTCCAGTCCCGGCTTCTGTGAGAATTTGGCTTGTAAGACATAACCCAACTTCACCTAACATGTTTGATAACTGGTTAGTGCATTGTCTTAGTATTTCAACCCTTTGAGGGATAGAGGGTCATTCTTTTTCCTTCACTTTAAATTTTGAACTCATTCAGATTATCATCGCAATCGCATAACTGAAGCTCTGGGAAAAAGTGATTATTGTATTCTTAACGCCAAACGCCAATCAAATCCTTAAGAAAGTATTTTAATATTTATTTACCTCCTCGCTTTTCTTTTTCTCCTCTTCGCTCAAATCTTCTTCGGCAGTTGAAGGACTCTGATCGTTCAGTACTTCAGCGACACTTAACACATACGATGCAGTTTCTCTTACGTTACCACCGCCCATTATCGATTCAAGCTGCTCGGTCGCCTTCTTTTGAAGATCTCCGACACTTATTTTTTTCTTTTCCACCTTTAGAATGACAAAAATTGAACAGAGTAAGAACTCCTTCCCATGCTATCATTGCTGAGTGGCTGAGGGTCTTTGAGAGTGGAATCAGGCATTACGCTACTACGTTCTTTTCAAAGAAAAGCACAACTAATTCACCTTATTTTGGGTCGAAGCAAAGAATTTAGTTTGCATTTCGACTTACTTTCACATTTTTTGTAAATTCGACCTCCGTTGCAGCTCCAAGATTGTCAGTAACTTTGGCGTGAAGAGTTAAGTTGAATTCGTGATCTTGAAGACCACTGGGAAATGAGACGGATTCGCGGAACTTTTCTAATCCGCTTCCTAAACTTTTTTTCTCTCCATCAGGCGATGTCGAGTAAGAGAATTCGTAAATTAACGGCTCGTCTTCATCTGAAAAGTCATTACATTCCAAGGTAAATATGGGTTCTAAAGGGTTCCCCTTAGGCGGTGAAGGTGTACAGCTTCCTTTCTTTGGAGGTTCGTTCACAGTTATTTCAAGCGTACTGAGTCCTTCTTCTCCACCCTGAATGTTGCCATATAGTGTGATTTCGTAAACTTTGCCGCCTGCAAAACAAAAGGTATTTACCATCCCTCATCAAAGCAGGATACAAGCTTCTGCCAAAACTTTGTGGGTATTAGGTGCGTATTAAAACGGTGACTGTAGTTTTAGCCTTGAGAACGAAGATCTGAGCGTAAATTTCTGTCTTCTAGCAGCTATAAACTTCCTTTTAAATCAGTGAAGAGAATTTGGAGTGAAATCGAAACCGTTTGCAGTAATTATTCCTCTTCCGATTGTGATCGCATTATGCACTCTTTCTCAATTCATGTTTTCTGACGGTTTCTTCTCGTACGGTAGCATGCATCACTGAAATTTGTCCATAGCTCTTGCTCCATTCAGCAAATAAGTGTAATGAAGTAAGAGGTTATGAATCATAGACTTCCCCTACCAGCTCCAGTCATGAAAAGAAAGCCGCTGTTATTGGCGTGCGCGCGCTCATCGCGCCTTATGTAAGGAGGCGCAATGGAGTACCTCGAAATAAAGCCAGATGCGCGAGCAATAGCGGTCGCAGCAGGGCGGAAAGAGATTGGATACCTACACCATGGGAATTTTCAGTTTTAAATACCGCAAATTTTTATACCAAGTTGGTATTCTTACTTTACACGTACTTCAATGAATGACATGAACCCACCTTCAAACGTCTTGGGTTTGATAACCAGACTTCTCGAAGTTATGGGCGTAGATGCGCGCTCTTCGAGGTCTGATATGTTTTCCACTTTCCATCTGTAGAAAATCCTTTGACCACCCTTAGACGTTCCTTTCCCTTGTAAAGTTAATTTGCTCGAAGGGTTTATTTTCTTTTTACATTGTTCGCATCTGAAATACAATATCGATAAAATAAATTCAAAGCAAACTCGAGAAACCCCTTTTGTTTTTCTGCTCCCAAAAAAATTAGAGTCAGCTGTGTATAGTCTGCAACGAAATTATTTTGAGGCAGAGATTGGAGAGGCCGCAAAAACGAAGATTTGAGTTTAAGTTTACAGTACTGGAGTGTGCATAGTGGATTAAAAGGCAAAGTTATATCCATGGCCAATTAAAGGTCTTTTCATTCTCTGAATAGTACATTTACCTTTTTTCAACGTATGATGATGATGCCGTAGAACGACGAAAGCTCGGAGTGAATAAAGAAAGAACCACAGTAGCACTTAAAGGCTTCATTTGATCAATATCCCGTACATAACAGAATACAACAAACTACTAAGTCGTTGACCTTCTGAACTAAAAATTGAAAAATTTATATGCATTTTTATCCCAGTGATTCTTAAATTTGGCGTTCATGGACATATTTGATAGTCTCTTTGAGATACCAAAGACCACACCGCATTAGAAAAAAAAACACTACAAATGTTAATCGAACGACTCTTTAGGAATCAAACAATAGAGTTTATGTTCGCGGGCATAAATATGTTTTAGGCCGACTTGAAATAATTTTGAGAAGGGCCCAAAACATATATTTTTTTCACTCTATTACTGTTATTATCAGTTTTGGAGGGCATTGAGGAAATAAAAACTTAAAAAGTTACAACAAAACAGTCTGAAAAATGACGTGAGCGTGCACACTGTCTAGGATATGATACATTTAAGCCCGACAGAACCTCTTTTTCGGCCCGCAAAATGTGCTCAATAAATTACAAAGTGATGATGAGACATATATTAACCGAGCATCGAAAAGCAATCCGAAATTGCTCAGGGCTAGCTTTATTGTGCTCTGTGACTGGTGTAGAAAATGCGCACCACCTTAGCTTTCTTCCAGGCTAAAGAAAAACTACGACTTGGTTGCTCCGTGTCACAAACCATTCATTCTGCGTTTGACCGGCTTAAGTGCCGCTCCCGCTAAGAGCGGTCCTCTAGACTTCCCGTCCGAAAAAAGTTTTCTTTTATTTTTTGCCCATGAAAAGGGTTTAGGACACATGTTTCAAAAATCGTTTAGTTGTTCTCCAATCCTCTTTTTTTGCGTCGCCACATGCCAAAAATGATTTTTGGCCAGAGCACTCCTATGGACAGCGATCGAAAGTGTAAATTTCAGAGATTTTGTTCAGCGCGCAGCGACTGCAACAATGTAGCTCACGGAATTCTATCTTGCTATAAGTTACAAGGTGTATTCAGTTAATTCACAGACAAAATGTGGAAACTTCAGCTGAAATATTTTTCTTACCAGCGTGATCAGAGGAGACCCTTCTCTTCGACCTTAATTTGCATATCAAAAAGTCACTACTTTGTACGAAAGAATTCTCAAAATGCAGGCGTTAATCAGGCTGAAAAAGCATATCAGTGCATAGTTTATACACCAATGAGGTCACGGATCGCCTCAAACCCGCGGGTATATCTCTAGCTTCCATCCACCAACTTCTTAAAAACAACACAAGTCAATGTGTTTGCTCAATTGCGCTCGTGTCAAAGATCACTTGCATAATTCTTAGAATTGACCAAGATCTCTTTTTGACCGTTAAAACTTTCAAGGATTCTAGGTTTTCACAACAACGGAATGGAGATTAGATGCCAAGTTGTCCTAAAACGTTGCGTAAACGTGATCGGTCGTAACGCTTGCGCGCTTGTGTGACTTACAAAGCAGACAGGTGATCGGAAGGCGTCCTCTCGATAATTTACGTTGAAATATCAGGTCATGAACTACGCACAGTGTGGAGAAGATCAAAATTAAAGCATAAAATTTGGCACTCTGGTCATAACAGACATATCGCGTCGCTTAAAAGGACACAAAAACAAGTTGAAATAGGTTACAGTGTTTATATTAACAAAACAACACGCATACACTCTAAAATAATTCTTGCAGTTTCTCCCGAGATTTAGTATACGGAACCCGATGAACTAACCCTCCTTTCTGCAAATTTGTTTCCGTCATTAATGATGTTACGCTTTTATGGACCACAACGGTTTTGAGCGACAAACTCGACATTTCCCTGCGATCATCAAAATCAACTGGATAAACCTAGCTTGATATAGTGCAAACTTTTCTCTTTGTTATACGACCTGTTTCGCAGGTTCTACAAGTTGGAACCAAAATTAGTCAATGTAACGAATTAGAATCGAAAATTATTCAAATGGTCTAGAGAATTTTACTTTTTAATGAGAATTTTATCGTTTAAATGTTTACTTGATTCATGGAAAGCAAAGATTGGAGTGGCTTTGGGTATTTCCGCCCTGATTTGGAAAAAAATAAAACGGTTAGTGGTATGTTCTTAACAGCAGAACACCTGAGAGGACACTGAAAATGTAGTAAAAGTATTTTTTAGCATCCAGAGCAAAAAGAAGAATGTGAGGCAGTGAAAGGAGACTGAGTTTCCAACGCCATTTGTCGTAAAAGCTGCCATCCGCTTGTTATTGAACTCACTAAAATTTACCTGGAAGGCATTACTTTCTTTTGTCGCGAAACTCGTGGATTTTAAAACTTTGAAACGACGTACGATGAATCCTGAAACTGGAGTTTGAGTTTGAGAAATAATAACATCAAACATTAAACAGTTTCTGAACAAGAACGAAGAAACTACTCCTACTACAAGTCGTTCGTAAAGCTTATGATAAGTAAAATGTTTCTATTCTGAACTATTGGAACTCTCAGCTTATTTTCAGATGCAAATCAACATTAATGTCAACGTCTTAACTAAATTGGAGACTATTACATCGAACTCAATTTTATTTTCTAATTTTAACGATTATTAACTGTTGAGGGATCCGAAATAACACCTTAACAATTACGAAGACGTCTAGAGTCTGGTGATCTGCAGACAATGCAGAGCCACTCGTCCTCCGGGGCAGTCTTAAATCTCTCGAAGCTCATGTGTAACCATTCCTCGCACAACTTGCACTGTACCATGTCGTCCCAACACTCGAGCATTGAACAATGACAAAATAAATTAGTGTCACAAGTTTATCTCTTATTGAATCTAGCGGTGTTCGACTATCGCGGAAAAGGTTCAAAAACGACCTCTCTCCAGACATTAAACTAAATTCTTGCCCATTTTCCCTTGGTCAAAAGAAACATCCGACGGGATGCCAGTTCTTATGCATTAACGATACGCATGTTTTGAATTAAAAACATACTTTAGTGCGTACTAGAACGTTAAGTATCATCCATTTTTACTAGAACGTTAAGGATGATGTTTTCACTCAGTTTTGTTGGGGGTCCAAATGGGGGGTCCATATCCGCTAGCGGATTTGGACCGGGGGGTCCAAATCTATGGGGGTCCAAATCCGCTGGGACACCGGCATTCCAGGAGAGAAATCAGGGCTTAAATACCCAAAGCCACTCCAATCTTTGCTTTCCATGAATCAAGTAAACCTTTTCAAAAGTTAATTTTCTCATTAAAATGTAATTCAGTCCATTTTAATGACTTTCGATTCTTATTCGTTACACTAACTAATTTTGGTTTCAATTTGTAGAACCTGCGAAACAGGCCATATGGCAAGGAGAAAAGTTTGCACTATCACTTCACGCAATATATCAAGCTGGGTTTGTCCAGTTGATTTTGATGATCGCAGGGAAACGTCGAGTTTGTCGCTCAAAACCGTTGTAATCCATAAGAGCGTAACATCATTAGTGATGGAAACAAATCTGGGGAAAGGAGGGCTAGTTCATCGGGCTCCGTATACTAAATCTTGGGAGAAACTGCAAGAGTTATTTCAGAGTGTATGCATATTGTTTTGTTAATATAAACACTGTAACCCATTTTAACTTGTTTTTGTGTCCTTTTAAGCAACGCGATATGTCTGTTATGACCAGAGTGCCAAATTTTATTCTTTAATTTTGATCTTCTCCACACTGTGCGTAGTTCATGACCTGATATTTCAACGTAAATTTTCGAGAGGACGCCTTCCGATCACCTTTGCCTACTTTCTAAGTCACACAAGCGCGCAAGCGTTACGACCAATCACGTTTACGCAACGTTTTAGTTGCTGTGAAAACCTAGAATCCTCAACGTAGAAGATAAACGAACGAAGTTTGAACGGTCAAAAAGAGATCTTGGTCAATTCTAAGAATCATGCAAGTGATCCTTGACACGAGTGCAATTGAGCAAACACATTGATTTGTGTTGTTTTTAAGAAGTTGATGGATGGAAGCTAGAGAAATACCCGCGGGTTTGAGGCAATCCGTGACCTCATTGGTGTACAAACTATGCACTGATATGTTTTTTCAGCCTGATTAACGCCTGCATTTTGAGAATTCTTTCGTACAAAGTAGTGACTTTTTGATATGCAAATTAAGGTCGAAGAGAAGGGTCTCCTCTGATCACGCTGGTAAGAAAAATATTTCATCTGAAGTTTCCATATTTTGTCTGTGAACTAACTGAATACACCTTGTAACTTGTAGCAAGATAGAATTCCGTGAGCTACATTGTTGCAGTCACTGCGCGCTGGACAAAATCTTTGAAATTTACACTTTCGACCGCTGTCCACAGGAGTGGTGTGGCCTATAATCATTTTTGGCATGTGGCGACGCAAAAAAAGAAAATTGGAGAACAACTAAACGACTTTTGAAACATGTGTCCCAAACCCTTTTCATGGGAAAAAATAAAAGAAAACTTTTTCCGACGAGAAGTCGAGAGGACCGCTCTTAGCGAGAGCGGCACTTAAATGGTGTGCAAAGTATCTAAAATGGTCGCAAAGTGAAATAAGTGAAAAATGCATGGCAATTTCACACCACTGTACACAAAATCAGAGATAGTAATTCAGTACCGAATACTCACTCGATGGCTAAAGTTGGAGGGCTTCCCGGTGTGACTTTTATCGTCTGATCTCTGTACGAGACTCGTGTGTCTTTGGCGATGATGAATCTTATTATGTAGGTTGTGTTGGGTGTCATTTTTGTCGTGTTCAACACATCTTGCACTTTCATGAAGTTAAGTTGTCCAGGTCCGTATCCGTAACAGCCCCCTAATTGTGGCCTTATGGAGTCGTTTGCAGTAATGTTTTGTACAGGGGGGTCGGGAATAGGTGGTAAGTCGGTTAGATTTACAGGTAGTATATAATTTTCGACTTCAAATTCTTTTTTGCAAAACCATGCGAACGTGCAGTTACACCTCTCAACATTCAATTTTTTTTCCGCCTCCGTGTCAGGATCATATGATTTTCCGGCGTCCAACGTCAAAGGATCTTCATTACCAACAGTCCTTTTTGTACCTCCATCGATGAAAGCTACGAGATCCGTTTTTGTGATGTTGATGTAAAATTTCTCCATCTTGTAAACGCCTGGTTCTGCCAACATCTGGATGCTAAATTGTAGTTCATATAAGCCGTAGTCTAGTTTCCTTGGTGGGATTAGTAAGTCTGGTCTGTCCAAACGAATGCCCCCGAATAGGTTTGGAGTCGGGCTAGCGGAGTCGTCTAATCGAGACATATTCCAATAGTACCGGGTCGAGTAATTGTAACATACGAGTTTATTTACTGTTTTTATTTCAATCTTCTCTGACTTTTTGAACTTTGTACTATTTTCTTTACTCTTTCCAATTCCCGGAGCCTTGATAGTTGGAAGTTTGCATTCTCCTTTCACAATGGCGGCTTTGGTTTCCTCGCTTTCAATTTTGACACAAGATACGCTATTATTGCCCTTAAAACTGACCAAGTAAGGTTTTGCTTCTCTATAGATGTGGGGAAAACGTTTAGATCCTTCAAACGTTTCGACACCATCACATTTTTTTCTGCCTTTACCACTTCTGTATGATAAACGTTTTCCATCTTTCAGGTCGATTGTAAAACAAGAGTCGGTTCCTTCCTGGTCCATGCTCAGAGTAAAATTAATGAGCGTATTCATTTCTGCCGGTCCATCATTGCTTAGTTTTACCCCACGTATACTCTCGTGAACAATGATAGTTTCGTTCACAGTCTTGCTACTGACATTGTTTTTGGCTGTGAGGCAAATTGTGTGGTTGCCCGTGGAAGAAAACTTCCGAATACAGTTCATTCCTTTGCATACGTCATTGTCTCTCGAAAAATTCCAGCTGTAAGTTACGTTAGTACCATTTGTGATAGAGGAGTTAAAGAATACGTCGTATTCCTTGGGAAACACTCCTTTTGTAGGCCTGAAATTGTCCCCGGGGCACTCATCGATAAAATTCGTCAAATGAGAAAAAATCTGGAGTCCATGGATCTTATCTTGAATTATAATTTCGACGTAAGCATTACCACAACTTATCTCGTTGCATACTTTCACCGTGGCAGTATACACACCTTGTTTAGGATACGAATGATTTGTCCCCTTCTTATCTCGTAAGAAAAAGCTTCCAGTTTCATTATCTCCGAAGTCGTATGTCACGTTAAATGGTCCAGAAGCTTTGTAGCCAGGGAAGTGGAAAGAAAGCGCTACTTCCCCTGGGTCGGACGGCTGAGGTGAATTGGACGTGAGCAGCACTGCGTCGATTGGATATTGGACGATAACTTCGCATCTATCCGTACCATTTTTCTGATTTCTGTTGTATAGCGTCACAGTGATATTATATGCTCCTTCTGTAGAGTACGTGTGGTTCTCTGTCGTTCCGTTTGTGGGGAATTCCCGTGGATGATGCTTGCTTTTCGGTTTACCTTCTCCAAAGTCGAAGACCACGTTCACGTTGGTGCCGTTGGATATGTCAGCAGTTACCGTGACGGAGTCATTTACCGCAATGTACAAATCTCTTATCCCCCTGCATCTGCCACCCTCAAAAGTTTGTAGAGAACCTCGTTCTACCGCAAACGTCAAGTATTTTACAGGGGTCTCGACATAAATTGTGGTGTTTATCCAACGGCTATCCACATGATTTGTTACCGTGATATTTACGAGATATTCCCCTGGAGCGGAGTAATTATGAAGGCTAATGGCGACAAATATGTCTCCAACTGTAATGTTCTTTTCAAACAGTTTTGACTCGCCATCACCATAGTCGACAAGAATAGAGATTTCACTTCCTTGATTCAACTTCCAGTGCACTCGTGCCTCTTCCATTACTCCTACCTCACGTCTAAAACTCCTAAATTCCAGGCCTTTGATAACGTCTTGAACGATGAGTTCTGCACAGCGCACCACGACCGAGCTAATGTCGTTGGAAGCTATTAAAGAAACTTTGTATCTCCCTGCCTTTCTATACACATGTGGAATGACTTTATCAGAGGTATTAATGGTGGTTCCGTCCATCGCAAGTAGGGTATATCTGGCCCATTCTTCTCCTTGGTGGGGCAAAATGGTGAAATTGAACGTCTGATTGGTCCTCGAGAAGCCAGGGTGCGTCATTTGTACTCCGTAGACGGAACGTTGCACGCTCAGGTTCCCACTGATTTTCAGACTGTTCACTTTGTTTGTGGCGGTAATTGACACCAGGTACAAGCCAGGAATCGTCAAATTCGTTTTATAAATGGCGAAAAATATTGCCCCAGGTACTTTGGGGTTGGAGAGATTTGTTGCACGGTTGTCGCCTGTGGATGTGATAGTGATATTGAAGTCTACGTGCGAACCGTTACGCAACAGCCAGCCAATATTAGCAGTAGTTCCGTTTTCAATAGGAAGCAATGCAGTTTCCCTAAATTCCATGCCGGCGATTCTTTCTTGAATAACAGCTGTGCACCAGATGGACATCAAGCTTACTTTATTTATTGCCATAACATTAAGAGTCACTGTTCCAGTTTTGTTCCTGTAAACGTGCGTTACCCACGGACTTGATGTTGTGGCATTTTCACCATCGCCGAATTCCCAGACATACGTCACATTAGTACCGTAAACTATTTCCGCTGTAACATTGACAGTTTCTCCGTAGGGGAAAGCATCGGGTAGTTTTAATTGGAAGTCTGTTATGGCTTCTTGAAGAATAACCTCTCTTGTGAAGCTCTCTGTTCCGCGAGAGTTGCCTACTGAAAAGGAAACAGCCTCATGTCCAGCCATAAGGAATTGGTGTTCAAATTTAGTCTCAGACACAGCGGAGTACAGAATGGCTATCGAGGGAGCATAATGTAGTTCAGTCGGACTGTCTTCTGTTGAAGGAAGGCGGTTGCTTCGCAGTGTCGTGGTAGCGTTGATCTCTGAAATATTATACAGGAAGGAGAAACTTTTCGAGCTAGTTTTCAATGCCGCTGCTGGCCCCGTAGAGGGGAAACGTACCCCAATGACGTCACCTTCTTCGACTTGAAGTCGCTGATTTGTACTCTCGATAAGGAAGAGTTTATGTCCGCTTGTTAAGTAGACCATGTAACTTGAGACGTGCTCGTAGTCGAAGTTGACATTAGCACCATTCAGTGTGTTGTTTTCACTACACGACTCAGTGGCGCACTGTCTCTGTTTAAAGCTGAACACGTTTTCACCGTGGCAAGTATCGGTCTTACCCACTGGACACGAGGTTTTGTTCGCAGTCCTGGTCACACAAACTCTTTTTGCTTGACAATAAAGTTGTTTTTGGTCGTTACATGTCGGGCGATAAATCTATGACGAAATTTGAATAGCAGCACAAATTACAACAAATAAAAAACAGTAAAGCCTTTGACTCTCATGAATGACCGAGACAGAATTTCTCCTTACAATATCGATACAATATCAAGTAGACAAGTGATGAGAATAAAGAAAAATATCAATATGGGGATAATTAGTTGATCCAATACAAGATTCTCTGAACTAACATCATAGGAATTGTATGGTTTACGGTGAGGAGAATTTTTTTGGGAGTTAAAGGGTTAATGATGACCACCACGGTGGTCACCTCGTGACCTTATGGTCAAACGCATGACACTCTGCTTTATCTCCAATCTCTTGTATGTTCTTCTTGCAACTGAAAAAAGGAGGTGATTCACTGTTTTTATAGAGAAAAAAAACCTACGTTGTACCATTTAAATTTTCTTATCCTCGATGTTAAAGTACCTTTAAGTCGAGAAAGCCTCCTTGTTTGACGTCCATTTCTAAACCCACAACTTCACCTTTATTTGTAACGTCCATTCCAGCCAACAGGTATAACCCGTCGGCAGTAACCTGGGATTCTGAGTCTGACTCTAGGATGCCCAGTGTAAGGATTTCAGCATCTATATGTGAAAAATCCGGAAGTACGAGGTTTTTTTAAATGCATATTACTGGCTGACGGACTGACTGACTCACATGGACTGGCACATTAACTTATTAACCATAAACTGACTGAATCACTAAGAGAAGGAAGGAACAAAAGAAATATAGATTCACAGACCAATCGTCTGGTCGTCAAAGTCGACTTATCGGCCGACAACGATTTGAAACCGGATATTTACCGAAGAACTGACAGACTGACGAAGTAAAAGTCATGCGTTCGCATGGATGGACGGACAGACGGAAGAATGGGGATTGGAATCGACTTATCGATAGTATAAATTCAATTTTAAAAGAACTCTAAGTGGTCTATCGCCACGTTAACAATTCTTACCAGGAACTACTGTATTCCGGTCAACCCCATCTTCAAACTGTATCGTGGTTTCTACGTTGGCACCCTGGTTAAATTTCAAGGAACAACTAAACGTCATGTTTACAGAACCCACAGATGGACAGAAAAAGTTTACTCCTGAGACGTTTGAGGTTGCGGACACAGTAGTGGAAGACTCTACCACTGTGAGATGTCCGGTATCACTATGTTTAGCTATCGCTTTTCCTCGAATGGTGTAGTTTCCTGACTCAATCAGTGCCAGTGTAGCCACAGAATCTTTGGTGTAATACTCTGTTCCATCTCCTACGTTGATAACATAATACTCGACGATTTGATCCTCTGGTAACTTAGGTGTCATTGTCAAGTTGAAACCTGTAAGCGTCGTAATCGGGAGATCCAATGTTAAAGTCAATCTGAGAGGCCGCGCCTGGACCGTCTTGTACACAGATATGTGAGTTTCCCCACCGCACTTAAGATTTCCAGCTCCAAAGCAGGACGACAGGCACATGTCTGGAGAGTGTTCTGTTATTTTTGAGGTAGAGTTGGCACAAAGGCATAAATTGCCATTCTTTAGGGCCGCGTAAGTGAAGTCCGAAGCGCCGCATGAGTGCATACAGAGGCCAGGTGTCATTCTACTAGGTTTATAACCACCAGGATTGAAAATAAAATTCGGCGACACCGCATTGTCCTCGTAGCATCCCAGATGATGACGGACAACTGTTATGAGGTGATAGCATAAACATTTTCTCAATAATTAAAACACACTATGTGTTATTTATCTTCTCAATTCACTGTATACTGAGGGAAGCGAGTTAAAGAAACCTTTTGGTAAACGCAAACTTATAAGCTCTGAAATAGGCAGTTGTACTTACAAAATTTCTGCTAACCTTTTGCTATATCCGTTTCATTGCTGTGAAGCCTTAATATGCTCCAGTTATAATCAGTTTATAAAAACCATCAGGTTTGCTTGACATGTGAAACTATAGGCACAATTTACCCCCTTGAACACTTACCTTGTTCGCAGATGTATTTTCCTGGGGTAATAGAACAATTAGACTTTCGCCAGGTTCCTTCTACTTCCATCACAGCACAACTTCCCGAAGACCCACTTTTCCATTTTTTGAAGGACACTCCCGAGCCATCTTTCCAATAGAAGGCATTATCTGTCTGTTCGAGTCCGATCCACGCTTCGCTGCCAGTTTCGTTTTTAACAAAGGTATTTTCCTCTTCAGAAGAAATCTTCACCAAATCAGCTCCTTGGGAAAGACACGAATTTCGTGCTGAATGAAATGTGAGGCTCTCCGACATGACCTTGTAGCAGGAGCCGTCAAAATACAACCAACCTGTGGCGCAGCTAGCGGGATCTGTAATTGAAATCAGAATCGAAATTTTAAGGTAGCGTTTAGAATTGAAATTTTAAGGGACTTTTACACACCCATTAAATCGTAAGCGCGTTTATTATCTCCCCGCGGTGAGTACTGATATCCTTTATGGACTCTAGTTAATATTTTGCGCGCTTCTAAGCACCCACTTACAGGCACGCACGCGCACAATGTCAGAGCGAGTACTACCAAGGACACAGCAATCAAATCTCGTTAAGAGTGACACAAGGCTAAATTTTTCGACCTCTCAGTGATCCACGATGAGAAAACACTGCCTCACAACTTAAAATTACATAATTCCTCGAAGCCTTCATTTCATTGTGCAACGTTCGGTGACTTAAAAACGTTCGGTTATCGAAAAAGCTGTTAATTGATTTGCATCGTATGCAGTACTTTTCATCCTCACCATTACAAACATGTAAATTCGACATTTTCTTTTCTGTGATTTCCTCTTCCCACACTGCAACATCTCTTATCACTGACTTGGCATAGGCGTTACCCTTGTCGCCCGTGCGACCGATCGTGAGTAACGCGGGATGATTTGCTAGTGGCGTAACCGTGACGATCTTTCCAATTGGGTCATGCAAGACACTGGCGGAATCGTTATAGACAATAGCGGTCAAACCATTCTGCTGGCTCCAACTCATTGCAAATGTTTGCCAATTGTTTTTCTCAAATGATATCTGAACCTTCCAGTTCTTCTGTCCGTCACGGAGACTGAAATGCATGACAGAGTCCACATAGTAAATGGCAAAACCACTTGAACTTTTCCCGCCAGAGGATAAGATATATCCGGTACCATCCCCTGAGATACTTGCTTTGAAGCTCACAGAAATTCCGTTCGGACACTGCGAAGGGCTGTGAACACAGCTTTCCTTGCCACTTTTTTTAAAACTGAAATCTACCCAGTTTGAGCCTGTGAGAGAGAGTGCAAGCGGTGTAAAGCTCTGATTAGAAGGTCCTACTTGTAAGGACCATGGACCGCGTATCTTTCCTATCAGGGATCCATCACCGTTTATATCTTTTTGGTAGATTGTGGACTTGTCGAGTGGCCAGTAGTGAGAAGCATCTTTGTAGCAATGATCTGAAAATGTCAAGGATTGGAAGTATATAAGTCAAGACTCCAAAATCACAGTTGGAAATTAGGGGAAATCTTGACTTATCTAGAAACCTATTTCCTTCAACTTGCATGATCTGATTGATTCTCCCTTCTAGCTGCTAAACATTTTCTTTTTAATAAGTTACGAGAATTTTTTATTAGATAAATATGACAAAATTACACCCATTAAGTTTGAGTATTCTCAAAATGTATATATAATATAAAAAGCAGTCACACGTCATTCAGTTCTGGGAGTTAAGGTTTAAACTAGGTAGTTAGTTACTTACCAACGCGTGCACAAATTTGAAACTTGGCTGATGAACTTGTCGCGGAGAAGAAAGCATACTTGACTTTAACCGGCTGTGCCTCTCTCCAAAACAGGTAAACCTAGAAAGGCAAACAGGAAGAAACAAAGGAATAAAAACCTGATCTCACCGAGAAATGCAAAACCATGGAGGTCTCACGCTAATTAATTCATACGGCTATCTGTTTATTATTAACTCCTAGTTCATCTCCTTCGAGGCGTTTTTCAAACGGCCGACTGGTTGGCCATCAAGTGATCAGTAAAATTTATTTGAATAAAATTTGGTTCTCTAACAGGTTATTTACTCATTTCCATTGATCAATTACATCATTTGCACAATAACGCCTTAATAAACATGACGTTTTTCAGATCATGTTTGTGTTTCAGAACAAATATAGAACTTACAGATATAAGTTAGATAGCAACAAAAACTTAAAAATTTTGTATGGAGAACGTGCGACATGCACAAAAAATGATTATATTCAAAGCAATTGAAGTCCTTTTCATTTCCTTCAAGAGTTTGTAGCTACTTTAACAGTTTTTAATTCTTTTTGGTGTTTTCCAAATTGATTTGCATTGATACGAATGCGACACAAGCAGAAAATCTAGCCGCTAAGATAAACCTGGCCTGATGCTTTGATTGTACTTAAAATCCTTAAATCTGAAATAAAAATAAACCATCAAATGAAAGACATAACAAAAAGGGTTACAGTACCTTTTCTCCAGAGCCAAATATCAATCTGTCTTTCGTTGCATCGATCCAAAACAACCGCATCTCGTTTTCTTTCAGCAAAGAGCCAGTGGTGTTGAATTCCGTCAGAGTTTTACTCTGGTTGCTTTGCCTTTTCAAGACCACTTTCCCATTTGAACCAATCAAAATGCTATACCCTGAGCTTTGTTCACGTGAGTCACTCGTGAGAAGCACCGAGACGTCGTCCTTAGCATCAATCATGAGAGGAAACTGGGTTCGATGTAAGCGATAGCGGTTGGATTGACCACCACCTGTAAGCTGGGTAAGGTCACATATGGTTTCTGAAAAACACCAATCCAGTTCCATTATTCAAAATGAGAGAATCGACTAGATGATCCTCCGTTTCATAAGATGATCTGATTCAACTTATTTCTTATTCTGGATCTTACTTGTTACTTTTTATTCCGCGATTACTCTCGTTAATCTTTCCTTGTAACTTACTTTGTTTGCACAAGTCGTTGTTCAACTCAATTTCTTGTATGCCAACCCCACCGCTGCTTCCAAGCACCTTTTTCACGGTAAATTTTACCCAGCTTGTTCTACGAGCCAAGAAGGTAAACTCCTCAAAATTAGACGTGTTCCCCGCCAGTGTAATCTGCAAAGCAAAATGGGATCAAGTCATATCATGAATTTTGGTTTAATGGCACAATCATTTAGTACTTTAAACGTGATTTCAAGAATTTTTGCTTATCTCCCTTCTCTCCTTATCTGCTTCCACCTTCACTTTACCCTCCCAACTCTACACCCACTCTACCCCCAACTCTACCACCAACTCTATCCCACTCTACCTCCACTCTACCCTCACTATACCCTCACTCTACCTCTAATCTTCCCCTTGACTCTAACCCTCACTCTACCCCCTACTCTACCATCCATCTTGCTCCCTCCACCCCCCACCCCCCACTCTTTATCCCACTCTACCCTCCACTTTGCTCCCACTCCAACTCACACACTCTACTCCTCACTCTACCCCCACTCTACCCTCCACTTTGTTCCCCCTCCACCCCCCACATTCTACCCCCCTCACTCTACCCACCACTTTGCTCCCCCTCCAGACCCCCTTCACACTCTACCTCTCACTCTACCCTCCACCTTAATTCCCCTCCACCCCCCATACTTTACCCCCTTTGTCTCATCAGACATGCACTTTTGTAAATCTTGAAGAAAGTATTATTTTTTTCAGGTCAAATCACCCGCCACTTTCCAAAGTAGGAAGAAAATAAAACGAATTTCACAAATTTAGCCCCAATTGATCGAAGGAAATCGATTACGCACCGTTTCCATCGAACAGTCACTAAACTCCAACAACATCTCTTGGATTTGTTGACCAGAGCTAGTTTTTTGCATGATCCGTAACTTATCAACGACGAAGGTTGTGTGAAACCCAATTTGTATGAACGAATTGACGGCCTCATTTGACGCTGATTCCCAGCCGACAGTTGTATTCCCATCAAGAACGTTTTCGCAGCCGTTCGAGTTGCCGCTGTTCGAGGACTGATTTAAACAGCTTCCTCCATACTTCTGTGACGCCACGTTAAATGGGTTACAGGTTGTAGAATCTTGAAATGAAAGGAGAGAAGATCGATGATTAAAAATATTTTGCAGAGAAGACAAGACTATTGGTAATAAGAGGGGTTTTAACCCATTGACCTCAAGAGTAACAAGCATTTAATTTCTCCTTACAATCTCACTCCTGAATTGCACACTAAGGTCACGAGAATAAAGGAATTAATCACCAACAAAAGAAGCTCTCGATCTCAAAGCAAATTCTCTTTCTCAGCACCTTAGTAAATGTATGGAGGTCGGTATGGGTTGCAATGGGTTAATATTTGGAGCTCTGGACTCCGCACGTTTCTCTCATAATGCCTGTCTCCGCCTAGGAGAGTAAATGGGTACCAATGGACAAACTTAGGGACTAGACAAATTATCAAGAGGATATCAAAACTTTGCCAACATCCCAGCTAGGGGGCAGTAATATTACTAGAAGCTTCATGCTGCTCAAAAGGGAATGTTTAAGCTCGCAAGAAGATACTTAGCATCGCTACATACAGAAAAGAGAGCTGAAGGTGATCGAATTTAGCAAAAAAAATCAAAAATTATCCTACACGTTTATGAAACATTTTTTTAACGCACTTGATTTCGTTTCGACCGTTAGCCATTCGTCAGCGTTAGCCTATATTCACTCTCACGAAGGGCGTCAGCTTAGAAACGTCAGCTTTGCGATGGCCAACTACATTGGAGTACAATACCTTCTTGTGCTCCAACACCGACTCAGCACCACAGTTTCTTTAGAAACTAACCCCTGAATACACAGAAAACTACGCCTTTTTTTACCTGTTAGATACTCATTTACCTTGTGATACATATGCGCAGTTGATTGGAATGCTTGATGATATTTCAGTCGGCCCTGAGCCACTTCCTTTATAAGTTTCTTCTGTCCAAGACACTTTTTTTTTTCCTTTGTATCCGATGACTGCGTGAGAATTGTGCGCTTGAACACTGCCAGCATTTTTTGCACCCACGTCATTCATTTCACTCGGCGGAAGCGTGGTGTTATCCACGGCAGAGAGCTGTATTGCCATCAGCACAACAACATCCTGAGGTAAGCCCCTCAGGAACTCACCCATCCTGTCGCACTCATCCTGCTTCGCTGTGCAGTCGAATGCAGATGATGTAAGGAAACGACCTGCATGGAAGAACGGAAAAAACATATCAGAACCGAGCCCCTTGGACACTAATAGACAACCCTCCTAGTTGTTAGTTCTGCGTTACTGCCAACTTAATTACGCAGCCACATGTCGTGACCATTCCATTCCCCGAAAAGGAACCTCACCACAAACGAATGAAATAAATCATGTTCTAAACTGTAGGTGAACTACGATTGAGGAAATTGGAGAAAAAAAGCTTCAAAGAATGTTTTCTATGGCGCTATTTTCTCTTACGACATAGCTTGGAATAAATACCTGAGAGTAAATCAAAGACTGCGACATTATATCCTTTGGTTTGTGGTGCATAGTTTTTGTTGTTGACCAAAATATAAGCCAACTTCTCGTTGCCCGCATCATTTGTCCCTACAGATTTCACGGTGACATTGAGAACGCTGACCACATCTATAGGAAGGAAATACAAAAGAAATCGATTGATAACTAAATGCCGAATTCATGGAGGGGAGAAGTTATGTCGGGTTTCAATAAACAACATTCCGTACGAGAGTCTTGTTCAGCGGGCGTGGCTTGAACGCGTTTCGAACGTTTGAACGCGTTTGAACACGTTTTCAAGTTGAGCAGCAGATTTCTGAAAGTTCTGAACGTTTTCAAATAAATGACTCGACAATTGAATTCATTTCCGAAACTAATCCGGCAATTTCTCTCTCTGTCATTTTTCAGATCGATTATCTTGAAGTCCTTGAAAGGCCTTGCGAGAAATTTAGGTACATCTCACGCTTCTAAATTAAGCAGTAAGGGGTCCACAAATTGTATCTCCTAGAGGATTGGGAAAGCAGCCCTTACCCCCAACCCTAAGTTCCCGGACTTAAGATGACCTCCGGGCTTCAACTCCCACGTAGCAGAAGCACGTCATGTAAAAAGTGAAAGGAGCTTTGAATTTGAAGTAAATGACAATGAGCACTTAAAAGTTGTGTAACCCGTTTTTGTTGAAAGGATCCCGCTCAAACTGCGTCGAAGAAATTTAAAACCGAACGCAACTTTTATTCCTGAGATTACGCCTGCCGTTCACACCACCAGCCAGAAATTTTTCACTAAAAAACCTAAAAGGCTTTTCCGAAAAGGCTCCTCAAGCCAGATAAATTAAAATAAAGCAGCTTTTCGGGAATGAAAAACATTTTTGGAGCGAAGCTTCCCGAAACACTGATATCTTTGTTCTGCTAAGTTTCGGATTGACAATTGACAATGGTTTTAATATTCGCACGGCTGAGAAAGCATTTACTGAGAGTGAAATCTCTGTCTTAAAAGCTGTCCCGTGTTGTAGACCCAAATTAATTCCTCTCAACCCGAATATCAATCATTCAAGCCAGCTTTGCACAATTTGAACCATTCGCGGCTATCACTTAATTTTGCAGGTGGTTTTCCTTTGTCAGCGTCATCATTGATAACAATTATTGTCAGTTCAAGTTATTATCGTTTTGCCAATTCACATCTTCGTCCTAAAATCGCCCTGTTAATGATTTCTTTAGCTTGGTGAGATCACCGGCCTTGTGTTTCCAAAACAACTTTTGTTCCTCAAATATGCCATAAAGAGTGTTAACTCAAAGTTGATTTGCATCAAAAGAAGAAAACGGCTGGAAACTGCTGTTACTCGCATTATTTTCCAAACAAGTTCTAACGGAGCCGACTATTTCGTAGAAATTAGAATTTTTATTCACCAAAACAAAAATACTTGGCAAAATATTTCATCGATTATGAAATCATTTAAATCACGTAAACTTTTGTATCTGGTTCATTTTGGAACAGGGACGTAATAAAGTCTTTTAAATGCATAATGTTATTAAAACTAAAAGACAGAAATTGTTTAGTATACTGATCATGAAACCAGAAACCTTTTAACACCCCATCGGCACCGTCCCTCTGGAATAAGAGCAACGAGTATTTGCAGGTTTTCTCAAACTTTTTATTAGAAAAAACTAAAATGGAACATTCTTCGACTGATCGAAAAGAACTTAACCGAAGTAAGAAAAATTAAATTTTCATCAAGAACCTCATTCCGTTCTAATTGCGCTGGCCAGAGCCTATTTGGAAGGCGCTAAGTTATCCAGTTACCCAAATGTGTGCCGTTTATTTGTCTCCCTGCCAAATATATGAGTGCATCTTTGTTTAATTTCAGTCCAGCTTTTCAGAATCGACAACAACTTTATCCTCATTTTTCTTTGAAATGAAATATGCTCAGAATGTATTTGGAACAGTTAATTTATCCCAACGAATTCCCGATTTTAATGATAACGCTTTTCTTCAGCCGAACTTACGTTAACCGTTAACGTACGTTTTTTAATGGTAAAACTGCAGGTTGGTTTAATCTTCAAAAAGAATTAGTGTCAAAAAAGGTTGTTTTGAAGAGTTTTTGGTTAAATTCCAAGTTGCTCTTGCATTAAAGAATTGTCAATCGTCATAGTCTGTGGTATATCAATACGACCACATGTTCACGATATATTAGTCCGCTTCGTTCTTTCTTAAGTTGTAAGGTTACATTAGACCACAGGCTCTTAACGAGAATAGGGATCATAGCAAATAACCATTTTGTTTTAAAATTTTAGCTTATGAAGTGAATGAAAACAATCTGTTCAGCAACGCCTCAAAAACGTTATGCATAAATGTTAAAATTCTGTTATGAACGTTTCCATATGTGGACCAGGCTAGAACGCTAATAATACGTTATGTAATTCCGAATATCATGCATAAGGCCATAGAAAACTAATTCTGTATATTAGTGGCTCTCCCTCGATTGGAAAGAGTTTACAATGAGGTCAAGAATAATGAATGATAAGTCAAAATGTGGCACCTTAGCTCGGCGATATAGGGTGCAGTACACCTAACGTCGAATAGCAGAAACGCGTTCGCTCATTGAAAGTGGAAAGAGTGTCGGTATCAGCTAGATTTTGACGATATCAATCTGGCAATGAGATTTTCTTATTTAATTTCCTTTATTTTCGTTTCATTCATTGTATTACAGCAAAGTTTAGATGAGATATTCGCATGAACATAAAATGATGTAAAATTACGGAGTTGCGAAGACGAGTAGAACCAAGCAGTTATATTTTTGGTGAGACGGTTAGTTTTGCGATTTTTTTGCAACAAGGAAAACTTTAAATGTTGAAAAAACAAATCGTTCGTTATGGCACTGCAAAATATCAAAGTCAAAAAGCGCATAATCAATTGGAATTGATCAGAGGACATGAACAGATGGCATGATTTCGTTTTATAAATGATAGCCTGTACTCCAAAGCCAAGCAGCAAAAATATGTATATTCGAAATTTAGTTTAATAAATATTCACTCGGCGTTGTTTTCAGTGTGTCGGATAAATATCACTCAATAATTGTTTCGTACCAATTTTCTTCGTTACCAAATATACAAAATGATTTTATTGTCCAATAGTTTGAAATGACAAAGCTGCAAAGTCATCGGACTCCAAGAAGTCCGTCCGTTTATCTAGCTTTATGATAAAAACAACTTAATGAATTTGATGTTAACGTTCGTGAGACTGACACTATTTAAAACTATTCCTTATCTTAAGTAAACTTTGTAAGAATATGAATTCAGGCTGCCTTGCACGTATCAAGAACACACTGTAAAACTCACCTATTGTGTAATTTGGTTTCATGAATTGCTGTTTAATACTGCGGCATTGCAGTTGTCAGTAAATTGAAATATCTAGATTTTTTGTTCGTTAAAATAAAATTGAAGAGTCGAGCGGAAGAACAACATCGTCCGATGGATCGCATGAAGGTCGGTATTGCAACACCACCGGCTGAGTCCCGGCCACAAAATAACAATTTGTTAAGGAAAAAAAAATAGTGAAACTTCCTTAGGTTATTGTTTGTTATTTTATCGAGGTGTATGAGTTAAACCTACCCGAAGAATGATCCAGCGAGTCGCCACATGCGAAGGAGAATTTTACCAACTGCAAACACAATGAATTAGAAGGATTTTTGTCGATCAGTTTCTCTTCATAATAAGAAAACTTCCTTTCGTCAACAAAGTCACACAGCAACTACCAAACTGATATTATAAAAACTTACCGTACAAGCGAAAACAATACAGTACAAACTGAAAGATGCAAAATCCATCTTCCTTCACTTCCTCATTACGAGGGTAAAGCACTCTCGTTGAATAACTGTCTAAATCTTAAGCTGTTAAGTTGCAAATTTCGAAAAGACAAGCTTGAATTTATGACTTTTCTTTTCTGCTCCTCTTCTCTCCAGTCGATTAAACGTGCTAAAAACATTCCGTCTACGTCAGTTTGCAGCAATTTGATTGGTTGAAACTCCATCAATATTTAACGGTATTTCCTTTTCTGTCCTTCTATAACATCTGCCCTTCTCAGCCCACCGCGGAGACATTGAAAGAGGAGGACTTCATTACTTTTATCTTAGCTAAAAGCGTATAGCAGAAAAATAAATGGCGTTCAAAACTGTTAGAAAACACTTTGGTGTAAAAAACAATATCCCGCGAGAGGTTGAATTTTCATCGCACAATTTAGGCTATATTGCTTTATTTTAATCAACGGGTTTATTGACTTAGGGTTGTTAACCATATATTTATCTTAGCCATAAGGTGTCCATGAAAATGCTCCCAAAAAACGCAGAACTTGATAATTTTTGTTGCGAAGTCGAAAAGGTATTTCTAGGAGCTCTGATAATGAACACTCCGGCTCGTGCTATTTTAACTCATAACTTTCATTTTAATTTTGGTACTCCTGTTATCAAGATGATTTCTAGCTCGAAAGTATAATTATCTATCCTAGCTATGCATTATTAATAACTTCTGATATTTTGCAAAAAACTCTAGATCTACAACACGAACAATATTTCAAACAGTTTTCTACTGTTAAAATTGTGTCAAAAACGGATTTTTTACATCCTCTTTCAAAAAAAAATTACTTAATCAGAAATTATCTTCAATTTAGCGTTAAACCCCTTATCACAACGGTGTGTTGCTCTAAGATTGCCAATATTGAGAAAACCCAGGCGTACTGAATAAACCTCTTTTGTTTGCATTAATTATTTTTTATTAGAGTGCCTTCATTCTAGGGCTTGTGTTAACCACCTTGAGATGCTTTTAATCACACGTTGCCTCCTTTTAGACCTCCCAGTTACTTAATTCAGTCCTACAATGGGTTAAAAAAAAAGCGGAAGAAGACTATAGAAAATCAACACAAGCGATTATCAACATGGAATGTACTGCGAAGGACGTTCCAGAATACGATTCATAGTGTCGTTCTTTTCATGTTTTCATCCCCAAAGATCAATCTGTTTTCGTTTAAAGTTTTCTTTTTTTTCCGTGACATTGATAGACGACTTTGTGTTTCTTTCCTAACAGCTAGATAATTCCGTTGCCGGGCATCCGATCTTAATCAATCACCATGAGTTGAACTGCATAACACAGGATCACTAGGCACAGCGTGGTCAGTGACGTCACTGGTTTTGTTTGCTTCCTTTTGTAGTAATCTGACTTAAGGACATCTAGAGGTTTCGCCTCTTGGAAAGTTTTCCGCATGAAAGTTTGCCCCAACCAAGGCGGGTTCGCCCCATTTAAAGAAACAGATCAGCCTCGGTTGTGAGTTCGCCTACATACCTTTCAACGATCTTATGCTTAGGGCAAAATTCGTTTCTTTTTCGGATGAAGTAATAACAAATTTCAACCGACGTACAAATTTCTTGCTCTGATATGATTTAAACTTATGACCGAGTGATAAACCATCTAAGGGAAAAAAGTTTTGAGCCTTCAACATATTCGCAGTTGGCAAACCAGCTGGTCCTTCCATCCATTCAAACTCCGTAATTAATCAGAAATATCCACCTACATCAGTCAAACCCTAAATCAATATACTCCTCTCGTGGATTTTTCCGAATACGATGAGAAAGACCCAAAAATCGTCCCGGTTGGTAATTTCCAACAAATGACAAGAGTCCTGTGCTGTGTATTAAACAAGACAAAAGTTACTTAGCTTTGATGGTGTCTCTGTTCAGTTCACACGGGTAATACATGATTAATGAATACTTAATCTCATTCCGGAAAACGGCGTGGAAAAAGGCACGGAATTTATAGGGAGAAGGATAATATTTTGTTCCCTCGCTCTTTGTGCCAAGATTTTCCGAGAGCCATGTGTGAGCACCGAGAATCTTTGAGGAAAATTTAAGAAAAAGGTTGGATTGTAACGCACACGCAACCCAAAAGATTTCAAAAAAGTTGCAAACGGTGTTTTCGTCCCGCATAGAACCTTTTTTCAATAATTTTACCGTGCACACGAATCCGAATGCAGTTTACATTACTGAATGCTAAGAGGTAATACGCCGTAAAAAATTGTAATTTTATTATTATCATCATCATCATCATCATCATCATCATCATCATCATCATCATCATCAATATTATTATTGAAAATGCTGTTTTGGATGTTAGAGGTAGGCATGACCGAACGCTGGAAAAATAAGGATTTGCTTTAAGTCCATCACGCCCCATTTTTTCCCCGCTCTCCCTTGACCTGCCCTACACGTTCGCCTCGTGCTTACCTCCACTGGTCTGAATCTGCTCACTTACATCCCCTGCCTTTCTTCCCCTCCAGAAAAAAGAATGACAGATGTTTCGCTGGTTAACATTGTGTCAATTCTCTACCCACGGATCTTAATAAAACTGTTTGGCTGCCGGGCAACATAATTCTATCCGCAAATTAGAAAAAAAAAATTACCATCGAGGTCGCAATATTCTGGAATAGCATAACAATTTTAGCCCGAAAACTTTTATGTAAATACCTTTCCCTAATAAAATTTTGCACTTTGTTTTCAGTGCGTGGTTGTTCATCATTTAAGACGGGATGGAAGTTATTCGGGAGATTTGTGGTTCATTTTCAACATATCTTATTTCTTCTATTTTTATAACGGTGGTTATGTAAATATTACGAGTCGGGTAATTGATTTTTTCGAAAATTGAAGGTTCACAAGTGACAAGTATGGCATGCTCTAAATGAGTTTCAATTACATGACAATGGAAAGGAAAATGATGATGTGGAAAAATACGTTCAAGTCATCAATCGCCTTATAAACAACATAGCTTTTAGGAATTGTGTACAAATTTGGTAAGATATGGTGGAGTAACTGCTTAAATTGGGGGAGGTTGAAGAGTATTAGTGAGCTGCATGCACATGACGCATGCTTCAGTTAAATGAAGAACATAAATTATGAATGAAGCTATTATCAGATGTGCGAAGCAATACAATCCTGAATAATAGAGAACTATTGTTTGTTTTTGTGAGCACGTATCTGAGACTTTAACCAAACCAGTCATCTTGCACAACCAAGAATTAGCTGTAACTTAATATTGTTACTCTCAGTCGTGGTAAGAACATGCGGACACTTTCCGTTAAACATCCAGTTTGTGTCGCGGGTGTTCAAACCCTCAGCAAAAGAAGCGTGAAGGAGAGCGCGCCATCCTTCCTTGGGCTTTTAATAAAAGACGGTTTCAGGCAGTCTACCGCTGCTTGTAAAACCTCTGATCACTGTCTGTTTAGCCTGTGGGCAGGCTCTTGTGTAAGATTTCTTCTTTATAGCCCCTTTTCTGGTGCCTATTAAATCAATGGCAGTTGCTTATAGAAAAAGTTATTGAAACCCCCCAGGTCATTCGTTAGTTTACATCTTCATCCTCACTACCCTGAATTTCATGTGTGGATTAGTACGCCTCATTCAAATATGGCAGGTTATTCTCATTTAGACAGAGATTGTCAATGGGGTAAATACCCTCTTTTCGTACACATCCGTGGTGGCCTGTCATCTTGTTTTGAAAGGAGCAGGAATATTCTTTCTGACATATACAATGTCCCCAAAAACGTCAATTTAGAAATAACTCGTAAACAAACCATAAATGGGAGGGAGATGATACCATTTGGAGAATGGACGTCTTTTGACTTACGAAAAACAAACGGAAGTTGTAGGTATAGAGTGGACGTCTTTTGACTTACGAAAAACAAACGGAAGTTGTAGGAATAGAGAAGACTGTAATCAGCTGTCTTGTTTCGTGACTCTGGCGCGTAGCGAATTACAACTAAAACAATAGACTAATTTAAAGCTCTGCAGATTAAGGATTCAAATGCTGCAAAAATTGTGCCATTTTTTATGATGCAGAAAACCTTATTTCAAATTTGTTTACTCTAAATAGCGAACATGTATTGCGAAATCAGAGTAGAAGGCGAGAAATGAACACTGAGACGCTTGCGTTTTAAAAATGTTCACCTTACAATTATCAGAATTTGCACGACAACTTCCAAGATAGTTTTGGAACTGTTGTTTTGGAATCATCTTCAATAGTTTAGTTACGCCTACCACTGTTTTACTACTTTTCGAGAAAAATGATTAAGGAAGTATTTTTTCAATAATAATAAAAAATATATAATGAACAACGCACAAGAGAGGAATCTTTCTCTTCGCAGGTGTTCTGGACTTCCCGCAAAATTGTCGAAAGTTTCAAAATTTGAATCACTGGACCCATGCCGCGATGTTAGTCGAGTGGGATTGAAACGAGTGACGCAATCGTATGCGGAAACGAGGTTAGAAAACACTAATAAAAAATCTTTGCATGCAATCAAAATGGCGGGTACCGAACCGGAGAATAAGTCTTATGTAGACTTACGAGAAAAGCTTAACAAGAATTCATCTACCAACAAAAAGCAGTTCTGGGAGAATAGAAAGCGGAAACGTGACCAAAATGTTGTTTCACATCGCCAATATCCAACGCATGACAGAGAAATTGAACTGCAGAAAGTTCATCAAGGAATTCGTCAGCGAATTTTATTCGATAAAGAGGAATGCGACAAAATTGAACAAAAAATCGACGAAATAGTTCATTGTGCAGATGAGGGAAATTATAAAAGCAGAACAGTTGATAGAGCACCATTACGCGTTAAATATTTCTTCGGAGAGGGCTACACGTACGGGAAACAGCTCACAGAGCGAGGACCCGGACAGGAGAGACTTTTTCCTCGGGGAGAAGTCGATGAAATTCCGCAGTGGATTTATGATTTGGTTGTATTGCGGCTGGAGAAGGCTGGAATCGTGCCTAAAGGCTTTGTGAACAGTGCTGTGATTAACGACTATCAACCCGGAGGTTGCATAGTTTCGCACATCGATCCACCACACATCTTTGACCGTCCAATTGTTTCGTGTTCGTTTTTCAGCGAATCCTCGCTCAGTTTTGGCTGCAAATTCAGTTTCAAACCTATTCGCACATCAACGCCAGTCTTAACACTTCCACTACCTCGAGGCTGCGTGACAACTTTAAGGTGAGTTTGCTATATTCAAGTTTATTTTGTTTGAGCAAGTGATTTATCCCTTGCATTAGTGCACTGCTGCGGCATTTAAAATTGTCTTGCCAGTGTATTGCGTAATTGAAAATCGAATTCTTCAAACCAAAGAGACACACTTCTCTGAGAGTGACTGGCATTTGATTTTTCACTCGAATCTGACTTTATCTGGTTACTACCGTTTGTGCTGAATAATGTTGTATCCATTGTTACAAATGAATATCAAATATCTTGTTCTTTGTGAGGTCACGTATTAGTCAAGGGTTTGGTACAATTTTTATTTCCTCTTCTTACAAAGGCACCGGGAACATACGTTCAAATGTGTCAATCTAAATTTGAGAAGATAATTGTGCAATGTTAAAAAAAAAAAAAAGCCACAGTGCGGGATACTACATGTAGATGCCATCCGTACAAATATTCTAGGAATTTTTTTCACTTCTTATCTTAATTTTGACCCATAATATAGAATTCACGAGTAACATGTTCACGGTTCATTATTTTGACTCCAGTCAAGACTAGCACTGTCTAAGCTCAGCATAAATGGAATTAACACTTACTGATCTTTCCTCTCTGTTTCCAACAGCGGTTATGCAGCCGATGACATCACACATTGTATCAGACCTCAAGATGTGAAAGCAAGAAGAGCTGTGATCATTGTAAGGAGGTAGGGAGTAGTTTACTTGTTAGCACCTTGGCTTTGAAATGCTGCAACTGTATATTGCTCTCTCGCCTAGGTAAATGTACCCTGCAAAAAGAGATTTTTGTGATTAATTCCCTTTGTTTTCAAGAAATAGCATAAACAAAAAATGTCTACTTTCCTAGCAGTGTTCTTTAGGACCCTACTTAAGCTCGAAACAAAACAAATTTAAAGCAAGTGAACCATGTTTTTTCTTCTGAAAAATATATCGCACCGAAAAGTTAAGTAATATTGGGGCACTTTCAAACATGATTAGATATCTTGGAGACCTTTTTACCTGGAGCAGAATACTGCTGGCAGGTTGGTTCTTAGCCAGTTAACATGTCATTTCAGTAGCTGTTATCTTATCAGACATTGCAAGTGTGGTGCTAAATTTCATATTCCTTAGAATCAAACTTGTATCATAATTGCTAACCATAACTGGTTTTAGATGTCTGCACCATACTATATAAATCTCCTTTTGCTTTAATATTTGGAATCTGTTGTCCTTTGAAAGAGAATCAATCAAATAATTTACACTGTGTGCATCAGCTATTCTCTGCGACATGATTACTTGGGACACTTCTCTAGGAAGACACCTGTGATGTTTTTTTGCCCCTCTCCCCCATCCAATGTTGTTAATATCCAATGTTTCTATGCTATCTTGAAAACCAACAATAGAGAACTTACCGTTAAGTAAAGATGATTTTGAGATGTGAACGGCAACCATAAGAAGAATAAAACTAATTGCATGCATTGATGCCAGTGTATCACCAGTGAGTTCATCATTTTAGCATTTCAAACCAAAGTTTGCTGACCAAAAAGGTGTAGTGAGCATTAGGAATGGGAACTTTCAAATTCAAGACGCCATCTGTGTCTCCAAAACATTTGTGTGCTTAAGCTTTCTAGTGAGAGGGGCAAGGGGGGAAGGGGTGGGGGTGGGTAGTAACTGTCCCAAAAAATGTGTCTGGGAGTATAGATCTTTATAACCCAAAACACTCACAATGTTGTTTCATTGATCTTTATTTATCAGTTTCAACTTGATTTCAGAGTATATCCAGATGCACCAAGACTTGAACCATTAATTAATGGCAGCAAGGATCAAGATGGGGAAAGTAACAGAGACAGTGATGATGATGAAGATGAAGAAAATGATGAAGAGCCCCCATCACCCAAGAAGAAACGTGTGGTGTTGAAAAGGAACTTTAAACGTCCCAGCCAAGAAGCTAAGAATACCTCTGATCAGTAAGGAGACTGATAATTTGATCAAGTGATGACAGTCCAGCAGAGGATATAATATTGGTGCAAGACATCAGAAATAGCTTCAGTGAAGGTTCAGTTGGACAAACATCATTCTGGCTGGGGCCAGAGCTCAGTCCTTCCCATGGATCTAAGACAGGCTTGTGTAGTTTAACCTTATATATGTTGTGACTTGCTGTTCAAGTCACAAATGATAGTTGCAGTCTATAGGTTAGATCTGTGTTGTGGCTTTTTTTGTGCCAGTCATGTTTAATTCAAATTTTTCTCATTCTGTTATGTAGACATTGCCTCTATTGTATAGTTTTTAGTCAAGATCTTTTAAATTGCTTTCAATCTGTCAAGCTTCCTGACCTGTCAGTAGTGTGCAAATGTATTGGTCAATTTTGAAACTTGTCATTTGCTCATTATATTGGTGACTGTTTATCTTGAAAAGCAACTGGCCTTTAAAGTGACCAAAATGATTTCAATTTCTTAGTTCCATCCTATGGTTTGTGAAAAGTAATACTTGATTATTTGGAATGCCAATGTGATCCTTTCTGCAATTTGAATTTCTTTGGACAGATACTGACGATTTTTTTACAACCCTAGTAATGCTGAATAATGAGGGCAGAATTGGGGATTTCAGCTCTCAGGAAGTCAAGGTGTTCAAAATTCCATAGACATAAATCCCTGTCAAATCTGTATGAGTACTGATTTTATCTGCCCTGTTCTATACTGCCTTTTACAACATAGACCCAAAATCTTTTCCATTCTTCTCAAAATGTTTTCCACCAGAAACACTGACAAACTCAGTGAGGTTTGCTTAAGGAGAACAAAACTATCTCCTTTCATTGGAGGGGTTGGTGAAAAGGTCATTTTTGGCATAAGCAGTTTTTGTTCAGATGCTGGCAATAAAAGATTTGATCATAAAATGATTTTTAAACCATAGAATGGAACTAAAGACATGAAAAAAAACCCAAATAAGTGGTACTTCAATCACCATGTTGATTATTGGTCGAAAAAAAAAACACTATGGAAGTTATAGTACTGTACATATACATTGCCATATGTCAGCCTTCCTTCCCAAGTTATTTAGGCACTGTATATTGTATATACAAAGATTTACCCAAAGGTGTATGTATCATGAAGGTAGCATGTACTTCCAAAGAAGTTGGTTTACAAAGCAATTGCCAGTTGGGACAGTCTGAAGGAAGGTGTTTTTGTTAATGATGTGTTCCTTGTACTTTATCCTTTCAATTCATGTTCTCTTAGTTTTAAGCTACAACCTGTTTTGCAGCATTTGCAAGAATTTCAATTTATGATATACTTTTATCAAGCAACCTTTAGATTTGCCAAAAAAAGTACAAGGGGAAATGGAAACCTTCATTTCGTTGGGTGCTATATATAAAGATGTACTCCACTAGTTAGTTTCAGAATCACATTTGAATCATTTTTTTGGTAAATTGTTTGCACAATTGACCATTTTGTGGTTTAACATTGGAACAGAACTCTATGGTAATGAATTAAAGTGTAGTTTGATCAGAAGCTGTGTAAAATATGTCAAAGAATGCAGTCAATATTCTATTTTGGGACAACTTTTGATTTACATGCAACAGAATGTTGTTTTCAGTGAAAATGGAAATCAAATCATACATGCTTGCTTTCTGAACCAAAGTAAATAAGAAACATGACAGTTTCTTTTGACAAGTAGCAGCTTTGTTTTGTCAAACTAGAACTGTTAATTTCTGAATGCATTGTTAATTTTTATTTAATTAAAAACCTTTATGCTGTACAAGGTTTCCTAAGCAGACAAGACACATTTGTTGTGGGGCAGTTGGTTCTCGGGAATTTTTTTGTATTTGGCCTGTACTAGATAATTTCAAATTGTGTACTAGGCAGTTTAAGGTTATGCATGGTTCTGTGGCAATTCAAATGAACTCGATGTATTACTAAAGAACATATCTTTATAGGGAGACTCTTACAATATGTCCATGAGTGAAGAAAATGAGGCCATTTAATTGAAAACTTCTGATTAATATATTCCTTTAGCACCCTAACATCAGTATGCATCTTCTCCAAATTGTTCTCTCTACATTTCTTAAGGTGCTGACAAGGAGAATTTGTTTAACAATCAAGAGTTTCTTTAGTTGGTGATCATGTCCTTAATTCTCATGACCTTAATGTGTGTGATGCAGGGGTGTTATTGAAAGGAGAAATAAGATTCTAGTCTCTCCAAGGGGTTGGAGGGTTAACTCCCCTAAGTGACTAAGATGGAATTTCTCCTTACAATATCAATTCACTATGAAGCAGACAAGTATGAGAATAAAAAAAAAATAATAATTAGGGCATTATTAGTTGATCCATTACCAAATTATTGGAACTAACATGAGAATTGTTTGCCGGACAGGAAGGGGAATTGTAATGAGGTCTTGGGTGTTAAAGGGTTAAAAATCTTCCTGTTAGATTTTTTCCTGAATACTTTTTAAACTTTGCTATTATGTGACATAGGGGGGTAAATTTGACTGTAAATAGATTGTTTGTGTTTTGCCTGGAGCAACTCGTTCAGGGATAAAAAGGCTGTGTGTACACCCGCTAGTATGAGTAATTAGTATTGTGAAGACAAATTATTTACGTGACCATATTCTACGCTGTAAATATTCACAATGTATACCTGCAATACATGAATAAGAAAATGTTTATACCTGCATGAATGTGATTACTTTGATTGAAAAAATTGAAAATCTTCGAGAAAAAACATCAAGAGGAAACTCGATTCAAGGATTTTCCACAGGTAAAACGAGAAAACGAGGCCAAAACTAAACAAAATTTTCCGAAATGCCTCACTGATTCACTAAAGGACGTAACCTTGGGCAATTTTCAGAACTTGCAAAGGTGACAAAAAAAAATCTCCAACCGTTAACTGTTATTGAATGACCCCAGGCAAGATATAATCTAGTGCCCTAGCAAATTACCGCAATGTTGTTCATGATCGGAGTAATATTTATTATGGTGCATGTACAGATAGTAACTCTAACGTCGGTAGCGGTCGTTTTTCTTCGTTTCTTGACTAGCGGTGCCATTTCTTCTGGAAATGTTGGTAGAAGCGGTTTTCTCAATCGCTGGGGTAACCAAGCTTGGTAGAATGTGTTTTAAATATAGCCAAAATTTATTTTAGAAGCCAAGAGACTGAGTTAGTTCCGATCGCGTTATAGTTAATGACTTTTCTAAAGTGGAAAAAGTATATTTGCAGTTCAATCATTTCCTCTGTACGACTCATTTCATGATACAAAGAGTGGAAAAAACCCCTCAAACCTTTTGCAGGATCAAAGACATTTTGCAGATTGGCCAAGAACTTTGAAAATACGTTTACCTTCAATCATTTAAAATTATTAACTTAGAGAATTCGAAAAGCCAGATCGCAGAATATTGCAATTTGGTGTGACAAAGATCAGATCAGAGGTGTATTCAAACTTAATCTGACATGGTCTGATATACAATATCCTATTAAAACATGCTCTTAGTCGCTTTTGTGGCACCTCTTCCTTTTTTCTCAGAAAAATGAAAATTAAACAACTGTAGCAACTGTAACATTAGAATGTATAGTTGATGTAAAGAATGTTTTTAGGCTCACTGTCAAGACCCTAATCAGGAGTACTTCAGCGGTGCATCATACCTACAGCTCATAGTAAGACGCTCTTAGAAGAATAAGAGGTTAATATGGGTTTAGTTAAATAGTGTTTGGTGTTTCTAAGCACCCATTCCTCCGATTGTTTGCGCAAATAGTATCCACGCTCTATCAGTTAGAATAAGCAGATCATCTCTTAATGTCTTGCGCTTTTGCTTGACCCAATGTTATTTCCTTTGGTGAAATAAAGCTTCAAGAGAGCGAGGGGAGATTTAACAGTTGATGTGTTTACGGAAAATTGGAGTATTGGCTTTCAATAGAGCTTTATGGTGTTAGGATGAAATGCTCATAACGACGGTTTCTGGGTGCGATTCAATGAATGAAATTATAGAATTAGCGAGTTTTAACTAATCCTGTAATACTCGTTACTTTGATAACCCGTATCAGTTCATCTTTGAAAACAAGCTTAATGTGGTCGTCGGAAAAAACCAGAGAAAACAAAAACAACTTCGCGGGTCAAAGTTTCAGTTGTACTTCCAGCTCCTGCGATCAACTTTACCAGGCGATCTTCGACACGGGCGTCTCAGAACCCCCCTCACCCCTCCCCTCTCCGCTGCTCCCGCGCCTACTGTTTCACACGGTATACGATTCAACTTGGATACGAGAAGCCCTCAAGGTTTGAATTTGAGAATGGTTTGTTTATCTTTTGTTTAAGAGTCGGTTTAGGAGTATCGGCTCGCTACATTGGCAATCCTCAGACGACATTACAGCCCAAAACTCTAAATCCTGTTAGTAGTATCCAATAAAACAAATTAGCCAAACCGTCATATCTACTCAAATACAAAAGCGTAACCAAGGAGCAACAAATCGACCCATTAAACGCTTGAAATTTAACACTGCCTCACAAGGTAACTCTGTGTGATGTGCTACGGAAATATCCCAGCATCACGTGTCCCCCTTATTTGAGATGCTTAACTCAGTATCCAGCTGGTTATCTAAATCTAGTGCGCTGCGTCGATTTTTATTTGATACCATCAGTTTTCTCTTGGTTTTGATTGGGTAACAAGGGTGAATAGCTAAACATTTTCATAACGCACATATATTTTAAAGGAAACTGTCAAATGTTAATTACAATCTGAGATGAGAAATGTCAGTTAGTGGAAAACACAACAACAATTGTTCGTCCTTTATTTTCAAATTTCTGGCTTATTCCGGGTAAGACTAATCTCGCACCTGTCTGATCAAGCCTCAATAACGTTCCACTTACCTGAGCTGGGAGTCTCGCAGGTGCTCGTTCCGCACTTTTCGATTTTTCGCTCACACCGTCGAAGTGACTGCGCAGGGGAGTACTGAAGCTTCAGCGTATCATAACGACCTGTTTAGATGAAGGTGATACTGAGCTTATTTAGGCCAAGGCAACACTTGGAATTTTACAAGTTTCGCTGTTTATTCGCCGGCACCCAGTTATATGCACTAGGGAGGGGACGGTTTTTGTAAGAGTAACATGAGTCAAGGGAACTAATTTTCTCTTGAGTGTCATGCGTGTCATGTGAGAGGTAAATGTTGTCCCCAGAACATTGTTCTATGATCAAGAAATAACTTGAACATGGACCTGTGGAACGCAATCGAGGTCTTAGAGACAACGAGATCTCCTATGTGTGGGATCTTGTCAGCTTAGAAGCAACTCAAACCTATCCATAGCAACCATTTCTTTAGTTAACTTAAGGAATAGCCTGGGTACTAGTGTATGATATTGACGACAGAATTTGCGCGTTAAATATTTACGCTATAGACAACAACACTATACACGGAATGGCGGAATTGAACAACTGATCCACATGACAAAGCGATCACGCTTCTGGCTCGTGTAAAACGATCTTTACAAACTACAATTAATTTTCTCCATTGAACAATTACGGTGTTACAGTTTTTTAACGTTAACGGATAAAAGAAGTCGGCACAAAAGGAAAGTTTCACGTGGGTCCGTAGAATGCCTGGATATGAAGGAAAGGTAGGTTGCCTAACTGTTAGTATGGTAATGGTTTTGTCTGTGAAAGAGCAACTCTAATAATTCCTTGATCGTTTTACTTTTCCTACAATTAATATTTTTTCTCTTAGTAAGAACCCAGCGCGAGGTAAAATCGCTCACTTTTAGCAAATAGAAAACCGATTAGTTCGGCTTATGTTTATTTATTTCGAAGAGGTTCCTTGGTAATGTTGGTCACTAAAGCAGGTACTTGACAGCACAAGCCGGGAGACAAAATGCCGCCGAGAGCGTGTATTTTCAGCGTGTCGTGATAGAGCTTTAAATTAGCTGCAGTACCTATTTTATTTATTTACATTTTTAACTCTTTAGTTATAAAAACGTTTGTTGAATGCACAACTTTGATCATCGTAATTACGGAGGAAAGTTTAGCCTTATGTAACACATTTTCCCACGCTTCGATACAGTTTTTTTAATTTCCGCCAGCCACGTATATTTTAAGAGGAAGAGTGGAGCTCCCCCCCCCCCCGGGGGAAAGAAGCAAACCAGTCCGGACTTTTTAACTTTAAATTAAAGTTTCAAAGGTTCTGAAACCACTGGTGAGCTCTGTATTCAAATGAAATATTTATATTTTAATATCAATTATTTAATTAACAGCTATAAACAAATAACCAATTTTTTTGCTTGTATACTCATTTGTTTACTTTTAAGAACAATTTTGGTTTCGGCAAAACTGAACGTCAAGAAAGTTTTTTTCTATTGTTTTGGTCCCGCTATCATTACCGGTACATCAGAGGAAATTGGGCTAGAATAATTTTAATACTGTAGATAACCTTGAACTGTACACTTTTAATAGTTTATCTGATTTTAAATGCTTGAATAGGTAGCCTTAACGTCGGTATGCTGATAAAAGGCTTCAGAGCCAGTTTATTAACATGCGTGACTGGTTCAAAATAAACCGCTTGGAGAGTTTTCTAGGGAAGTCGCAACTTGAATTTGTCATATCGGCTCTAGACTGAAAACTCAAAAACTGTCATTTTCTTCTTTCATAGCCAGTATATTTGCGTAAGAACTCACAAAACATGAACAGTATTTGAAATATTCCTTACGTATAGGTCTCCCTGATCAGGGGTTGATAAGGACCAGGATCGCTCCTTTACTTTCTCTTTGACTGTCTCGATAGATACTTGTATCGGTCCGCGGCTTGACAGAATTCACTGACGTGCCCCTCACATAGTCGGTTTGAATGCCTTTCCTGAATATTAGCCTTTCTTTTAAACATCTAAGCGATCAATGGTCAAATATATTGCGTGAAGTGTTTTTGTGGAAATAGTTTTGGTTATGAAATAAGGTTTTAACGCGTGCTAATCGTCAGCGCTGTAATTTTAGTTCAAGGGGCCGAAGTTAGCCCCTGTAAAGGGTTAAAATGATTCGTAAAAAGAGGGTTAGCTTCAGAGAAGACCTTGTTGAAAATATTCCTACTTCATTTCGCCCAGGACTAGAGACTAATCGAGAACTGTTGGCCTTTCACGGAATCGTAGAGGTATTTCCTTTTCTTATTCAACTCAATTAACGCGATAAAATAACTTTTAACCACAATGTAGGCCTACCCGTTCGTCGTGAACGTTCGAATAGGAATGGTTTCTTTTTTGTTGACGTTCTCTGTCTCAGCGAACTTGGGCTTTATTTACTCTGTATGTAATCCTTTGTCGGCGAATCACGAATGAGTAGTGAACCGACAAATTAGCCAGCTAATTGTAATTTTCTGTCTTAAGAGCGAGTTACACGCAAATTGTTATTAAAGCGGGTTTTTTTAAACCAGAGCCGCCTACAACGCAAGTATTTCGCCACAACCAATCACAAAAAACAAACTTTTCAAAGCATGTAGATTGTTGAATTCTTTCGCGAAAAATTAACTAACTGGTAGAGCGATCAGCTTAAGGTTAACTGTTGTGTCTTTTTCGTTGTGTTCTTTTGAAATAACGTTGTTGCGCCAGAAAACCGCCCGAACAGATGATCTTTCGCGCGTAATCTGTTTGCTGGACTGTACGAGATTCGTCACCCTTGAGCATTTCAAAATCACATTAGTG